TGGCCCTCCTCTGACAGGCTGTGCACAGGCTGTTGGACATTTGAGAAGTGGCTTCTGGATCAGGCCCGGTGAATGGGCTCAGGGGATGGCTATCGAAAGATCACCTGGCTTCTGGGGGGGGGGGGGGGGCACGGGGGGGGGCGGGGGGAGAGATTTGGGTTAAACCTTCTCCATGCAAATGCCACTCAAGGTAACAGTTTCCCATTCCCAGGGACTTGGGGAAAGAAAAACAAACCCCAAAGAGCTCCATTCCCACCGGGGGTCGGCTGGCCCTGGCAGGGGCTGGGAGAAACCCAGCATCCCCGGCAGTTACAGAATGTCCTGCCACGCGGGGAGGGCCAGCGGCATGTGGGACAAAGGTCATCTCCGGGTCCAAACTGGAGCCTGCGGCAGGAAAGGGGAGGCTGCACAAAAGGGCATTGTACTCTGTAAACCAGGAGGCAAGTGGGAAAAACGGCCATTAGAGCTGAGCTTATTATGCAAAACAGTTTACCTGGTGGCTGGGCCAGGTGCGGTCAGGAGCAGCTAGTTCACTTGTGGGCTTGTTTTCCGGGAAGTGGACTTCTTGGGATTGTCTCCACGGCAGTGATAAGCAGGATGAGCACTGCCTGCAGCCTCCCGGGCCCTCTTGAAACCTCGGGGTCATCCGCTGTCACCTGGAATAGTGCCACATCCGTTTTGTAGGCGTTGAGGATAAAGCACTGCGGGTGGAGGGCTTAGCCCAGGGCCCGCGTCCCCGAGTTCTTGGTCATCGGCCGCCCCTGTGACTGCGGTTAGGTTATTTATCATGGCTACTTCACTCTCGAGTGGCTCATGCGAGCCTTTCAAAGAGGCACCTCTCCAACCACAGACACGTCCTCCTGGGTTTCCCGGGAGAGCCATCTGCGAGCGAGGGGAACACTTTAGACTCCACTTAAATTCCCGGGGACAGCAAATAATGATGGTCTGGGCAGAATGTCAATAGCGACAAGACGATTGGGCTGTGAAATCGGGTTGCCGTGGGTTTGAATCCGAGCCCTGCTACCTGTGGCTCTGGGCAACGGGCCCAGCCAGTGTCCTCCTCCAACTACTTACTTCATCACACGGGAGAGAAAATGAAATGAAACAATAGTCAGCGAGCGGCTGGCATAGTGGCTTGCTCACAGCAGGCACTTCATAAAATCTAATCGAACTCCTTGCTTTCAGAAAGATTAGAAAGCCCTAGCCGGTTTGGCTCCGTGGATAGAGTATCAGCCTGCGGACTGAGGGGTCCCAGATTAGATTCCAGTCAAGGGCACGGACCTCGGTTGCAGGCTCGATCCCCCACCCTGGTCAGGGGGCTTGCAGGAGGCAACCAATTGGTGTCTCTCTCACATCGATGTTTCTCTCTCTCTGTGTCTCTCCCCCTCCCTTCCACTATCTCTAAAAATCAATGGAAAAATATCCTAAAAAAAAAAAAGTCAATAAAGAGAAAAAAGATTAGAAACACTTCCCACTCTCACTACACACACACACACACACACACACACACACACACACACACACGCTCAGACAAAGAATTCTTTCTGGTGGCTCAGCTCTCCCTTGACACTCTCTCTTTAAGGCGCAGGTGTTTTCTGGAAGACAATACAAAGCTTGGAACCAAAGTTCTTCACCCACTTTCCCGTCGAACATAAGAACATTAATAGAAAAATGTATTTCTTCAAAAACACAGATTCAGAAAGTCTTGCATATCATTTGTCAAAAATAAAAGAAAAAAAAAATCACCTGGCCTCATGGAAAGACGTTGCCAGCCCTGCTGCAAACCGGCCCCTTTATCAACAGGCTGTGCCTCCTCCTCCTCCCGGGGGCCAGGGAAATCAGAATTTCTGGGAGTGGGCCCGGCATTAATATTCTTTAAAGCTCCCCCAGGTGACTCTGTGGTGAAGGTTGAGGAACACTGTTTGTTTGAAGCCTCCAGACCCCACCCCCCTCCATCACCCCAAACACAAGGACACAGGAAACACACAACTGAGTAGCCAAGAACGCCAAGTATTGATCGCCTGGTCTGCCCCACTCTCCAAACTCTGCGTTTCCAAACACGCTTCAAAAATGTCACCTGAGAGAACCAACAGGTGACTTTAGGCTGTGAGACGCAGATTAAAAGTGTCAGGACCTGCCCAGCCGGCGTGGCTCAGTGGTTGAGACTCGATCTATGAACCAGGAGGTCACGGTTCGATTCCCGGTCAGGGGACATGCCCAGGTTTCGGGCTCGATCCCCAGTGTGGGGTGTGCAGGAGGCAGCCAGCCAATCGATGATTCTCTCTCATCATTGATGTTTCTACCTGTTTCTCCCTCTCTGAAATCAATAAAAACATATATTTTTTAAAGTGTCAGGACCCTAAATAGGAAAAGAGGCCTCTCCAGCAGGTTTGTTCCAGGCTTTTCTCAGCTGGAGTCACCACCAGTCAACACCCCAGGACCCTCCAAGGTAGCCCAGAGCCCATACCTCGTATACATCTCCAAGGTCTGACAAGGGATAAAAAGCCACGGACACACACAGACACACCAAAAAGTTCACTTTTCCGATCCAAAACCCTTCCTAAGACTTTTTAATGCCAGGAGCAAACCGCAGCAGGAAAGTTCATTTCAAAAGGGAAAAAAAATCTATGATCTTAGCCCTGGCCGGCTTGGCTCAGTGGATAGCGCGTCAACCTATAGACTGAAGGGTCTCGGGCTCGGTCCCCAGGAGAGGGTGTGCAGGATGCAGCCGATCAGTGATTCTCATCATTGATGTTTCTATCTCTCTCTCTCCCTCTCTCTTCCTCTCCGAAATCAATAAAAATATTTTTTTAAAAAATGTATGATCTTCTTTTAATAATGGAAGCGTATTAACAACACGCTGAAGCCTATGAATAAAACAATTCACATGCCCCTACCTTGCCCCACTGGACTCCGATCACAGATAAGTGACTTTGATGTGGTTTTATAACTTGGGGTTCCCAGGACGTTATGCATAACTGACTTCCTTGTGTTTCCAAAAGCCCTCGGAGATCCTCTTCTCCTTGCCTGAGAGGGGGAGGCAGGAATCGTTGTTGGCCAGGTTCTCCCGTGTGAGCCACACAGAACCGCCCGGACAGCGGGAAGACACAGCAGTTGAGTCTGTCCTTGCTGGCGTCTGAGTAGGACCCCCTAGAACAGGGGGCTGCAAACTATGGCCCGTGCCGTCTGTTTTCCTGTAGCTCCTGAACTAAGAGTGGTTTTCACATTTGTGAAATGCTTGAAAAAAATAAAAAAGATTTCATGACACATGCAAATCCTATTAGATTCCAATTTCGGTGTCCATAAACATTTATTGGGACACGGCCACACCTGTTTGCTTACAGTTTGCACGTGGCGGCTTTCTCTACAGCAGAGTAGTAGGTCGGAGATAGGATGGCCGTAAAGCTTAAATATTTACTATCCGACCCTTTACAGTAAAAGCACGCAGGCCTCTGACCGAAAAGGCCAAGATTGCCTTTCATTGTGGCATACCCCGTGTTATAATTGCAACAAATCCAAAAACACGTGAAAAAAAACTTAACCACCACTCGGCCAAAAGTTCATCACAATCAGCCTTATGCGTAAAAGATCAGTGATTAAATTTGTATTTTTTTGGGGGGGGGAGAAGGAGGGGGAGGAGTAATAGACCATGTAAGAGGCTGCTCTGTGTTGTTTAAGGCGTCTCTATACTTCGAAGATTCACTTTTTTTTAAAAAAGGAGTTTGCTTTTTGAAGCCTTTATGGTAACTCCGGGCTTCCTGCTTCCTCCCTTCTCACAGCACCGCAGAAATATTTACCCCTCCTTTCTTCCTTGGCCAAGGGGACCCATTGTAATGCTGAGAGGACTCCGGGTCACCAGAGGGCAGATGAAGAATGCATCTTTGTTCTGCGTCTTCCTTCGGCGAAGGCCTGCTTGCTGATGGCGAACGTGGGATCGCAAGCCCTTCTCTTCAAACATAAGAAAACTAAGACGTGGCGGGAAAGAGAGTTTCAAGCGAAAGCTTCCCAACTCCCTGCTTTCCTAAGAAGTGTCCGTGCTGGTCTAGGTGCCCTGGCTGGATACATCCTTTCTAAAGCTCTTAAATACAGGGAACCTGTGACCAAGCCCTCCTGACCCCTTTTACTGCCTCCTTCCTCTGACACCAGGGGTGTCCACCCAGACTCTCATCTTTTTTCTTGTTTGTTTGTTAATCCTCACCCGAGGATATTTTTCCACTGATTTTTAGAGAGGGAAAGGCAGAGAGAAACATCCATGTGAGAGAAGCGCATGGATTGGTTGCCTCTGGCACCCACCCCCAGCAGGGCCCCGGCGGGGGAGGAGCCTGCAACCAAGGTGGTGCCCTTGACCGGAATCAAACCCTTTGGTCCACAGGCCCACGCTCTGTCCCCTGAACCGAACCCACTCTATCCCCTGAACCGAACCGGCCAGGGCCACCCGCCTCTCCAGCTCTGCGGGCAGGTCAGTGGGCTATGGCCGTGTTTCCCCAGCGTCCTGGCCTCACACCTCAACGTCAGATTTCCTGGAAAGTTTGCAAACACGAGCGGAGGGAGGCCGGGGAAGCTCCCCGCGCGGTGTCCCAAAGTTTGGCAGGATACAGCCCTGACAGGCATGCCAAGATCTCCGCAGAAATATTTTCCAGCTGAAATGGCCCCTGGAGGGTCCCAGCGGACCCTGACTCCACCCAGCCTCCCCACAGCGTTGGAGTAGGGCCCGACTGGACTCGGAGACCCCTGGCCACAGGCCTGCCTTCGCCCCTCCCTGGAAGCCCGCCCAACGCTTACCAAAGCCCGGCAGACGGGTGGGCGGCTCCATCAGGGCGGACAGAGGGGGGAGGGGCAAGGGCGGAGGAAGGAGAGAGGGCGGCATGGAGGCGGCCCTTCCTGTCCACCGCAGTTGCCATGGCAACCACAGTCCAAGGGCAGCCCAAGGGCGTCCGCGGATGGCCGGGCCCGGGAGCTGACTGGTGAGGGGTAAGCAGCATTAAGCGCACGGCACAAAGTGAAACTTCAGCAACCTTTTATTACCAAACTCTAAGCAGGTTTAACTTTGAGCCCAACTAACAGCATCTCTAACAGGACCTTGGTGGAGGCTCAGCCCTAATAAAGATGGTCTCTTAAACAAAGGAGTAAAAAAATACAAAACATCCACATAGAAATCGAACTGTGACACCCTGGTTCATAGGTCGACCCTCGATCCCTGAGCCACGTCGGCCGGGCATTTAAGTATTTTTTAAAAGAGCGAAATTCTCCAGTGTTGCAGAAAATGGGATCCCAACGTGATTTCAGTCCAGAAAAAAACAGCATTTGGCACTATATGCTGCCTTTTCTCCCAGTTCAAGATACACATGGGAGAAAACCATTTCCCTTCTTAAAAAAACACCAAACCAAACCAAACCCCTTTCTCCTTCCTGTTCAACTTCCACTGCTTATTCCTAGAAACACCCGGAGAACAATATAAACCAGGCCCGGCCCACTTCTCCTGGCCTCTGCCAGTCCGAAGGCTCACGGCAGGAATTGTTCCTTAGGAATTTTCTCCTCTGCTACAATCAGGAAACTGACCCCTAATTTCTGGGAACTGGCAAAAATAAAAAAATAAAAAATCCCATTTCCTTCCAGGAGGGGCCTGAGGGCTCTGTAAAGGATCAAAGGGCAGTGGACCTGGCCCATGTGCGAAGGGGGCCTTTCTATATAAAAACACCCGACACCTTATAACCTAACGTTTAGCCTACAGGTAAAAGCGAGCAGCAGCTAACTGAGATACTAAAAAGGTGCTTATCTCCCCATCTTCAACCATAAAGGAAACAGAGGGGAGGAGAGTCTGGAGAATTTGACTTCTCCTTTCCCAAAACTTTGACGTGTCTTCTTAAGCCAAAGCCAAGTTCCTGAGACAGACCCGGGGTCACCGGGTACAGTCTCTGCTGGGTAACGCTGCCGCTCCTGGGCAGCCTGGCACACGGCCCCTTTACAGAAACGTTCTCCCTGGTGCGCATGGTGCTTAAGGATCACTAGGGAAGTTATTTTCTCAATTCGACTTCGTCACTGACAGATACTTCTAGAAACTGCCCGGAGGACCCCCTCCCGCATCCCCCGTCCCCTCCCCCAGTTCAGGGTCACAGATCCTTCCAGTTGATGGGCTCCTTGCCAGACTTTTGCAGCAGCTCGTTGGTTTTGGAGAAATGTCTGCACCCAAAGAACCCTCTGTACACCGACAATGGGGAGGGATGGGCGGTCTGCAGCACGTGGTGGCGCTTCTGAAAAAGAGAAAAGAACGACCAAAAGTTGGCTCGGCTGGGCCTTTATGGCTGTTGCACTTGAAGACAGTGTGCCCTCCCCTGTGCGCTCTAAATCCTCCCACTTTGCTAAGTGTATTTATTTGCCTTCAGCGTTCATAGTAGGACATCAATGCACTCATTCATTTGTGGAGCAACTACCTTTGCTAGGCTCTGAGGCTGCGAGGACCAGTCTGTGAATTGGGAATATCAACAGTGTCTAGCTTCTAGTTATTGCAAAAGAATGAATGATCATGTGCAGAGAATATTATGAGAAGTAATTGAGGTCAAGTGCTTCTTAGCACCCTGTCTGGCACCCTAGAAATGTGAGCGGTGCTGAGCTTTGAAGGATGACTTAGCCTCTGGGGAAGAGACCTCTCCACTCAGGACAAAGGATGCGGGGCGTTCAAAGGCAGGCAGGCGGGGAAGTGGGGCACAGGGAGCAAACCTGAGAGGTGCCTCCGAGCAGCCTGGACTTGAGAGTGAAGAAAGCTGTGGCTGAGACCAGGGCCACGCCCAAGGCCCCAGCTTATCAGCCTAAGTCAAGGCCTTCAGGGAGAAGGCATCTGAATGCTCCAGGCAAGATCAGAGGGGCCTAAACCAGGGGTGGGCAAACTTTTTGAGGGCCACAATGGGTTCTTAAACTGGACCGGAGGGCCGGAACAAAAGCATGGATGGAGTGTTTGTGTGAACTAATATAAATTCAAAGTAAACATCATTACATAAAAGGGTACGGTCTTTTTTTTTTTAGTTTCATTCATTTCAAACTGGCCGGATCCGGGGCGTAGTTTGCCCACGGCTGGCCTAAACCAAGGCAAAGGTATTTAGGGGGGGAGGAGGATGGATGGGTTTGAGAGATAAGAGAGAACCTAGGCTATGAATGAGACTGGATAGGGGGTTGGGGGAGGGAGAGGAAGAGAGGTAAGGAGGTGTTATGAATGATATCTGACTTGATTTCTGGCTGGACAACTGGGTAGATCAGCAATTTTCAACCTTTCTCATCTAAGGGCAAACATTAAGTACCAAAATTCTGCGGCACACCAAAAAATATATTTTCTGATCTGACAAAAAAATAAATAAATAAAAGGTATAATTTTGATTCATTCACACCAGACAGCTATTTTTGTGTTGGCTGTTGTCATTTTTTTATTTGACAATCTAAGAGAAAAAAGGTCAGTGCCCCCTGACTAAATAGGTATTGCCATGTCTTAAAAATGCTTGCGACACACGGGTTGAAAATTGCTGACTTATTGTATTATTTGTTAAATAAATGGTAGCTGGGGACCTGTATATGGCAGGTTTATGCCTGTATTAGTAACTATTGAATCATAGGTTGGCCAGTCACTTTCCTCCTACATCACTGATCATTACTGTAATTTGTCTAAATTTTGTCCAATTTTCAACCCTAATTGCCAGTCTTCAGGGAAAATAAGCTTCATTTTATGGCATGGATTTTCCAGGACTACACTGCGAGGATTTCTCGAGTCTCGCTGGTTTAAACTGCTAAAAACCACATACCCTATCGATGGCACTGCCCTTCTTCTGAGCGTAAGAGCCCCAGAGCAAGAAGACGAGGCCACTCGAGTTCTGGTTTAGCCAGGACACAACTGCATCGGTGAATTGCTCCCAACCTCTCTCCTTATGAGAATTGGCCTGATGCGCCCGGACCGTGAGGACAGCGTTGAGTAGGAGAACACCTACGAACATACACCAAAGAAAGAGGTGAAAGGCAGGCTGCAACGGGTCACCCAAGGTCAGGGCTAACTAACTGCGTGAGGAAAACGTTCTCAGGATGGGATCCAGAGCGGCCGGCTGAAATTCGGTCATAGAGAAAGCATTTCAACAGACTGCTGGGCACTTCTTAGTGCTACCAGAGGGCACTGAACTTTCACCTCTGTGCTTTCAACACCTTTCCAAGTTTGCAACAGTAATATGCACATATAAAGGGTATCCCAAAATTCACGCAAGATTTGAATTTTGCGTGAGCATTAACAACAACAACAAAAAATAAAAGCCTAATTTTACTTGGTTTATTGAATCAGATTCTAATATCTGTTGCCCTTTGATTTCAATCCTTTCAATTTGATAAGCATTACCAAGTACCAATTATGGCCCAGGAGCAGGGACAATGAAGACCAATGAAGACCACGGCTTTGCGTATGTGCCAGCAAAACCGTGGAGGCCATTTACCTGATGTGCTATTCCATACATAACCCTATACTGTATACTTTATGAATCAATAAAAAATTTACAATTTTTAATTATAAACCTGTGTTTTCTATCAAAATTACTTCTTGCGTGAATTTTGGGACACCCTATACCATCGGTCATCAGGAAGAACTGTTTTTAAACAATATCGTAAATGATATTAAATAACCCCAGAAAATAACAAAAGGAGGCCAAAGTGTTTTACTGGGGGGGGGGGGGAATCGAACGGCAAGAAACCAAAGGGCAAATACTCTTTCCTTATCCTGGTTATAATTTATTTGTTAAAAAAGAAAGAAAAGCCCTGGTTGGTGTGGCTCAGTTGGTTGGGCATCGTCCCGTGCACTGAAAGGTTGCCAGTTCGGGCCTATGCCTAGGTTGCAGGCTTGATCCAAGGTAGGAGGCATGCAGGAGGCAGCTGACTGTTGCTGCACTCTCACATCAATGTTTCTCCCTCTCCCTTCCTCTCTCTAAAAATCAATAAAAAATCTGAGAAAAAGAAAAATTTAGTTAAAAAAATAAATAAACAAAACCCCATGGGTATTAAATACATACAACACCACCTATGTTGAAATGACAAAAGAGAGGACAAAATAATAATAAAGGGGAACACAGTTTTAAAATTATGATTAAAACATGAAAGAAGGAAAAAAAAAAACATGAAAGAAAACATTGGCTGCAAGGTAAAACGGAGATTCATTTTCTGACGTATGTAAGTTTAGTCATTTTAGCCATGCGTATCAACAGTTGGTTTACCTTGCTTGGCCCACCCAGATAAATCTCCATGGCCAGGATGAACAAAACCATCTATGTCTGTAGACAGCTCTTTATAAATGTTTTCCAAACTGGAAGCCGGAAGAAAAAAGACAATCTTAAGTACAATTCAGAAAGTTCAGCAACCTCCAACAGACGTGTGAATTACAGCGTGTAAAGCCAGCCATTCCTGCTGACAGGTAAATATTTTTGGTCTGTGTTTGGATTTAAGGAACAGCACTTCAGAAGACCTAAGTACATTAACCCAGGAGTTACAACCTCCCTCCCAATTGATGCCTAGTTACAGTTTTATATCTCTACGTATTTACTTATAAAAACCCTCTGGCCCGGCGGGCGTGGCTCCGTAGTTGAGCGTCGACCTATGAACCAGGAGGTCACGGTTCGATTCCGTCAGTGCACATGCCCTGGTTGTGGGCATAATCCCCAGTGGGGGGGGGGGCGTGCAGGAGGCAGCCGATTCTCTTTCATCATTGATATTTCTATCTCTCTCTTCCTCTCTGAAATCAATAAAAATATATTTTTTTAAAAATCCTCTAAAGAAGTAGTTCTTAACCAGGGATGATTTCTGTCCCACAGGGACATGTGGCAATGTGTAAAGACATTTTTCATTGCCATTTTGTTAGAACTCTCTAGTTCTATGGGGCAGTGCTCCTGGCACCTGGTGGGTAGAGGCCACGGGTGCTGCTAAACATCTTCAGTGCCCTGGACCAACCCTCTCCCCCACAAAGCCCCAGCCCCCAAACATCACCAGTGCTGACACTGAGAAACCCTGCTCCGAAGGCTAGCGAAAGTCCCCCCAATAGGTGTACCGATCATTTGAAATAGCGGTCGCCAACCGGTGGTCTGTGAGGTCCGAACGGTTGGCGACGCTGACTTAAAAAGTGCACATCTGACAGTAATTGCAATGGGACCTGAACCGTCTATGAAGCAATCGTACCTGGGCGGAGGCGGGACAGGTCTTTGCACACTAAAGCAGAGCCCATGAGCTTGATTGGGTCCATGATATGGATCCTGTCCCAGGATGACAACCTTCACCTGTGAATGCCAGGTGGCAGATTAAACAATACTCTAGTGTAGGCAGTGTAAAGGAACCCTGGGCTTGACCGCTGACCTATACAAAGGGACAGATAAGGAGAAGGGCAACCCCCCTGCCCCACCCATGACCCAACTAGAACCCCCAGAAGCAAGCAGATGGCCTGGTATCTTACTTACTTTCCATTACCAAATTCTCCTTCACTCAGCCACCCTACCACACCGCCCCCTCCCTTCAGGACACAGGTATGGGAAACAAGTTAGGGTCAACTTTGCTTTCGTCCCTCTCATTTGTCAAATGACAAAAGTAAATACACCTTGAAAACAAGTACAACCATCGAGAAAGATTCAAAGTGGTTAGTCATCTCCCAGTTATCCTATCTCATCCTGATTTTTTAAAAATTACCTGCAGAATTGGGGTTATCGTACTCATTACCCTACATCTGGTGCTCCTCACATCACACATTTTAGCCTTCAAGTTAATACGTAGAGCCCAGTCACTGATGGGCAGTCAGCTTGTTTTCCATTACAAAAAGTCACGAGGCAAGCACCCTGGTATGTATGTTTCCCCACTGTTGCTTTTATTCCTGTGGAATACTTATAATAGTGGACTTGCGGGTCAAAGAGTAAGTGTATTTCAAATTTTCATTTCCAAACAGTTGAAGCAATTCGAATTCCCCACCGGCAGCATACGAAGGGGCCTGTTCCCCTAGACCTTCTAAGGAAGGAAGCCAGAAGGTAACGAGGTCAGGTCAGGAGCCACGGGAGTAGGCGGCAAGATGCAGTGGAAAGTAATTAGGTCGCTGTCGCGGGCTGTGTTAAGACACAGCCAGTCCTTTTGATCAGGAGGCTGCCCACCTCTTCTTCATTCTCGTGCTTCTGCTCAAGGTGCACCTTCTTAGAATCTTCTTCCATAGCCGACATATACCTTATCCTTCAAAATCCAGCTCAGACAGTCCCCTCTTCAGGAAGCTTTCGTGGGCCGCTCACACTGTCCCCTGCATGAAGCCACCTGTCCCAGCACGGAAGCTGGATAAGGGACAGCCTCGGAGGAGCCAGGTAACCGCCCAGACCCTCCACATGCTCATTTGCAAAGCCACTCCGGGCCATCTGATCCCCAGTTGCAGGCTCTTTTCTTATTCTTCCCTATTTATATCGATCGCTGGTATTCAAACAGGACATCTATTCAACCAAGGGGCAAAATAGCACTGAATTGAAAATAACTTAGCTTTTGTTTTTTTCTAACTTCAGAAACAAGGAGCTATATCCAAAGTCCTTACTCTACACTGAAAATTGTGACGTTTGCTAAGTATCAGGCGTAGTAGCCTTATCAAGGTGGCTTATTCACCCATTTCACTTCTACTTGACAGATATGACTAAGTCACGGGATTCCTGCTCTCAACTTACAAATGAGGAGGGAAAAGGGTAAGAACAAAGTGTAAAAACCTCCCGTGTAAGCAGACACTAAGCATATTTGGGGGGTTTCGAGGAAAACCAGATCACAACGGTGGTGGAAAACGGGATTCAGTGAGGTGCTACAGATCTACAGTTGGTTTTAAGAGACGGAAGTGAGGAGAGGCCTGCCACAACGTTCAATTCTGATGTAGAAGAATGGGAGGTGGAGGTAAGGCTGGTTAAGTAGGACATGGCCATATTCATGCAGCCTCCATCGTTCAGGCAGTGGGAAGCCAGACAAGCTTCTGAACAGGAGGCTGACATGACCAGAGCCCCCAGGCAGCAGCCGGCTGTACAACCAACCAAAGCAAAGGGCTTTGGTAACAGGGCAGCAGACCTGTTTGGGCCAGAAGAGACTAAAGGACAGTGTGGGCAGACAGAAAGAATACTGAGCTTCAAGTCAAGGTGGGGTTGACTATAACCAGGTGAAAGAGTAACTCCTTCATGCCTCAGCTTCCTGATCACCACCACACTGGTCGGGGATTGGTTTCAGGATTAAATAAAATACAAGAAAGGAGAGCAGATAGCCTGACAAATCTCACAATTTTAGTATTTTATTTCGTTACCGAATTATGGACGGTGTTTTAACCCCAGTGTCCCTAATTAAGAAATACTCTTTGATTCCCACTCTTCTTTTGCAAGAATTCACCCACAACCTGTACTTACATCTCTTATGTTGCACATTTGGGTCCATGTGAAGACTTGGTGTGGGGGTGGGTAAACAGTGTAACGTCTTCTTTCTTCTGCAACAAATCCCATTAGCTGATTGGAAAAAAAAAATAAAACAACTAGATTTAAAATGAGATTCTCACTGAAAAGCGTATGAATTCAATCAGAAAGTTAACTGAAGCATTATCTAACCCTTTGCTAGGTTTTCTGTCCCAATTCTTTTCTGCCCTGGCCTGGCAGCTCAGTTGGTTAGAGCAATACACCAAGGTTGCAGGTTCTCTCTCCAGTAAGGGCACATCTCTGAAATCAGTAAGTAAAGCCCTAACCAGTTTGGCTCAGTGGATAGAGCGTCAGCCTGCGGACTGAAGGGTCCCGGGTTCGATTCCGGTCAAGGGCATTGTAGCTTGGTTGCGGGCACATCCCCAGTAGGGGATGTGCAGGAGGCAGCTGATCGATGTTTCTCTCTCATCGATGTTTCTAACTCTCTATCCCTCTCCCTCTCTGTAAAGAAAATCAATAAACTATATAAAAAAATAATAAAATAGAATCAGTAAGTAAAAAAAAAAAAATTTAAAAAAATTTCTAAATAATTTTAAAGAAAAACCCAGCAAATAAAAACAGTACCTGCTCCCTCCCCACCGGAGTTGCTCAAGAGCTTCCATTCCCTCCCTTGCTTTGGGCTGGGTCTAAGTTGATTGGCTTAAATGCCTTCATTTCCTGTTCATGCCAACCCCTCCCCCCTTTTAAAGGCGGAGCCAGGTTCCAAGCGTCTGGTGTGCGGGTTTTTATTTGGCCCCTCTTTCCTGGATAGCAGATGAACTAGATGGATTAAAAGAAGCCACGATATCATCTTAAGTCTTAAATTTAGAAACGAATATAAATGTGCAGGTTCAAAACACCATGGTTAACGTGAAAAGGACACTGAAGGAGGGAAAACAGGAGACGACGAAAGCAATAGACTGTAAACGTGGCCTGGGCCTGCGATGGCCTCCTCGCTGACCTTAATAAAATACGGTTTCCCGAACTCTCCGCTCAGGTGCTTCTTCCAGCTCTCCCCGAAGCCCACCGGCACGTTGCGAGCCGCGAGTCTCAGCAGGGCCGCGGCCTTGTTCTTCTGGATGCGGACCAACTGCTCGGGGCTCAGCGGCGACGAGGGCGGCGTGCCGGGCTCCTCCTGCCCCGCCCGGGCCTTCTTGGCGGGGCTGACCTGCAAGCGGTCCCCGCAGAGGCGGGTCAAGATGCACAGCGGGCCTCTCCCGGGCACCAGCAGGTTCCGCCCCGCACCCCAAGCCCCATAGCAGAGGACGCCCATCCGTGGGTTCCGGCCCCGCCCGGAAGGTCAGTGCAAAACCGGACTCTGGGAACCCAGGCCTTAAGCCAGACCCGCACTTAGCAGGCTGATGCCCCAAGTTTCGTGTTTGGTATTAATGCGGGGCGGGGCGGAGTGGAGCGGCGCGCTGAAGGGAAGCCCAGCAACCAGGCGCCGCGCGGGGCCCCGCCCGCCGGACCCCGCCACTGCGCGTCCCCACGTGGTCTTTTCGCGGCAAAAACTCTCCCCGAGGTCCCGCCCCTTCCTTCTTCCGATTGGACGCGGCCGAGAAGGGCGGCCCCCTCGCCTCTGATTGGCGCCGTGGGCTCCGAAGTTCGTCCCTATTGGCTGGCCCCTCAGCATGGCCGCCAGTGGAGGACCGCGGCGGCTGTTTTGAGTATGTGGAGGCGGCTTTAGACACGAGACCCCAGGTTACCGAGTCAGGGGCGCGTCTCTGCAGCTCTTCAGTCGCGCGGTCCCCGCCGCCTTCCTCCCTTTCCCTTCCCCCTCCCCCGGCCCCACGAGCGGTCCCCGCCGCGCCTCACCGCTGCATCCCCGCTCTCCTCAGCTACGGCCGCCACGCCGGTCCCCGGGTCGGCCGGCTCGGGGCTGCGGGCACGTCGCTTCCCGACGGGGCTCGGGGAGAAGAAGGAGTAGAGCGTCTTCTGGCCGATCATCCCGAAGCCGCCCGGGGACCCGCGAGGCTGGGGGAAGCGGAGGCGCGCCGCCCGGGGTCCCGCGAGGCTGGCGCCGGCGGTGGCGGTCCGCAATTGGCGCCAAGCCGCGCGCGCATGCTCCCGCCGAGGGGGTGGGCTGGGCTGGGCCGGGGGCGGCGGAGGGCGCAATACGCATGTGCGGGAGGGGCTGCTGGGGGCAGGATTTCCTGAGGTCGTCCGTTCATTCGTTTACTCTTCATTCACTCATCACTCCTCTGCCTTGGGGCAAGTCCCCGCATTCTCCTCGCTATGGATGGGGAGGAGGGCGGAGAAGAAAAGATAAAAGTATCTGCCAGGTCATGTAGGAGTGGGAGTGAAATTAGCATTTAAATAGTATTTGTTGAGCTCTTGGATACTACATTATCTCATCCAATTTTCACAACCCATTTTACTGACCAACTTACTGTGCCTTACCTGTAAGTTTTGGGGAGACTTTGAGGACGGGAGGGTTGACCTCCAGAATAATCATCCTCTGTAAGGAACCCCCGCCCCCCAATCCACCTGCCTGTCCTTCCCTCCCCATAGCCAAACCATCAGCAGGTCCAATTGGTTGTCTCCAAACTAAAGCCTGAATTCAGCTGCTGCTCTCTCCATCTCCTGGCTAAAATCCCAGCTGGTCACATCTTTCCTACCAAGTGATCTGTTGGAAATGTAAAATTAATTTTACATTACAAACAGTTTCCAAATATGCTTAGCCTAGAATGCCAGCTCGTCCCTCGCGTGGCCTTCACACCCTTGCACGCAGCATTCCCTACCTGGAAGCTTCGGGTCTCAGCCCAGGACCCTTCCTCTGAAAGGCCTTCCCCTGCCGGTCACTCTATTTATAGCTTTTGTATTACCGAACATTATCCTCTGTATTCTTTCCTTGTTTATTTCTGTCTGCATCTCCAAAATGTAACCTGAGTGAGGGCAGGGACTGTATTCTTCTTGTTAACAGATGAGTTCCAGCGCTTAGAACAGGGAGCTTGCTGGGTAAGAAAGAGAGAACGCTCGTAATTTTAAATCATTTACCCACACAGCAACTCCCTGTGGGGATCCCAAATGAATCCCCAGGGAGAGGTGCACCGCGTAACAGCTCCCAAACCACAGGGTGATCCTCAAAGGTTACAGAGCAAATTCTAAACTCAAAACACGGTGGGACAGTACTTGCAACTCGCCCCGGAGGCCAGCAGGTGGCGCGCGGAGGCCGCCCACCGCCTTGCTCTGCAGCGCTGCCTGCACTTCCCAGCTTGCCGGTCGAAATCCACCCGGAAGTACTGCTGCGGTCCTGGTGAGTGTTTTCTCCTTCCCGCCCCCTTATCGACCGTGTTTGCGGGGTTCGCAAGCTGCGCAGATGCTGAGATTTTAAAGAGAACCCTGGGCACCCCCACCCCACGCAAGTGTTAGAGTTATTTTCTCATCAGAATTCCGGTACTTGCCTATGGGTCACGTTGAACTGTTTACATGTAGATTAAGAATCACATCCAGCTCTAGCCGGTGTGGCTCAGTGGGTAGAGCGTGGGCCTGCGGACTGAAGGGTCCCGGGTTCGGGTCAAGGGGACATGCCCGGGTGGGCGGCTGGATCCCCAGTGGGGGGCGTGCAGGAGGCAGCCAATCAATGATTCTCTCTTTACCTCCCTCTCCCTTCCTCTCTGAAATCAATAAAAGGGGAAAAAAGAATCATATCCACTTGAGGGTCACTATACTGCTTCCCTATTTGATTTTAATATGGTGTGGGCAGGGCAGGCGGCTAGGGTGAAAGGGAGATAGACACACTGCTTTTCTGATGACTTTACGGTAGGCAAGCCCCTTACTTTCTCCTAGTGTTACTTTCCCCATCTGTAAATTTGCCTGTACAGTGTGAATTGCCGCGGGGGGGGGGGGTAGATGGGGGCTGTGTCTATAAAAATACAGGTGCTTGCCCAGACGACCTGGCTCAGTGGTTGAGCATCAACCTAAGAACCAGGAGGTCACGGTTCCATTCCAGGTCAGGGCACATGTAGAGGTTCCAGGATTGATCCTCAGTGGGAGGCGTGCAGGAGGCAGCCGATCAATGATTCTCTCTCATCATTGATGTTTCTACCGCTCTCTCCCTCTCCCTTCCTCTCTGAAATCAATAAAAGTATATTTTAAAAAACGTCCAGGTGCTTGCGGGAGGAGTGCAGGCATTTGGGTCTTTGCAAGCCAGCCAGCTGATTCCAGCATAGCCAGGTGCGGGAGACTCTAGGTTGGACCAGATCATCCCAAGGGACCAACCATCCCAGCTGTAACCCTCTACTTCCTTCCTGGCACGTGGTGTTAAACTTTAAAATGAAAACTTGAAAACAGCGAGGAGGAATGCTGCTGTGGATCACTCGGCCATAGAGCACATTTTTGCATCCGGGACAGAGCCTGGGCCGTGTCTCTCTCTCTGCCCCACCACTGACTCCCAGGTCTTTGCTCTGTGGACACAGGATGGACAGATTCCTGGTGAAGAGGGCTCTAGGGGGCCTTGTGGGAAAGAGGGAGCAGGAGCAGACAGGAGCCGGCCCAGCTGAGTTGGGAGAAGAGGAAAGCACCAGGAAGAGGCCCAGGAGAGAAACGCCGGGGAATGGTGCCGACGTGGCCGGCCTCAGCTGGCGACGCATTCGATCCGAGGACCTGGACTGCGATTACACAGTCCTGTTTGGCAAAGCCGAAGCGGACGAGATTTTCCGAGAGTTGGAGCAAGAAGTAGAATATTTTACAGGTAAGCAGAGGGCTGCAGGGTGTGTGCTGAAGGCTTGTTCGATAAAACTAGTCTATGTTTAGAGAAATCGGAACTCAGGAGCCATTAATTACCGATGAGTTTGTTAATTGATTCAACACATATTCTCCGGGCCCCTGTGGGCCAAGATCCTTGCTAGGTGCTTGGGATAAAAACTTAAAACAAAAAAAACCAGGATTGCCTGCCCACCTGGGGCTGACAGACAACTAGAATGAATCTCCATTGGGAGAATCATCTGGGAAAGTTGAAAAAAGAAAAAGATGCTGAGTTCTGACCGAGATCAGTTGAATCGGAGTAGCTGGGGGCGCAGCCTGAGCATCAGTGTTTTCAGAAAGCTGCCAGGTGAATCCAACGTGCAGCCAGGGCTGGATATCACTGGCCCAGGAGAGACAGCACATGGCCCGGTAATTCTGCAGTGCTCTCAGCATCACCAGAGGACTCTGTGGCTTTTAACTCCGGTGGCTGGGCCCCACCCCACAGTCCAGTGTCTGAATTCTCAGGTCACGTAGAGGCTGCTGGGGTACCACGCAGTGAGAACCACCAAGGTGGCAGAGCACTGGGAAGCTTAGGAAAGCCCATAGGGGACCCCAGCCTACAGACTAAGCTGTACTGGCCCCACCTTTCAGGGGGTCCTATACCCTTGGTCTCCACAGTGGGCAAAATCACCCCTGTCAGTGTGTATCACCCCTAACTTTATCTCACTCACTTCTCAGCCTCTTTATTCTGTTCCTACTGTAGTTAAGGCGATTAAGTTATGGTGTTTTTAAAGAAATTGGAGCAGGACCATGTTTCTCTAAGTGTAGGACAAGAATCGCTGTTCTTTTTTTTAAAAAAAAATATTTTTATTGATTTCAGAGAGGAAGGGAGAGAGAGAGATTAGAAACATAAATGATGAGAGAGAATCATTAATCGGCTGCCTCCTGCATGCCCCCTACTGGGGATTGGGCCCACAATCTGGGCATGTGCCCTTGACCGGAATCGAACCCGGGACCCTTCAGTCTGCAAGCCGACGCTCTATCCACTGAGCTAAACCAGCCAGGGCAAGAATCACTGTTCTTAAATGAAAATTTGGGGCAAGCCACAATGACTTTTGAGGAGGGGTCCTTGGTCAGGTTATTAAGTTATTCCTGCCCTGGCTGGGTTGCGGAGTAGTTAGAGCATTGTCCCGATATGTCAAGGTTTTAGGTTCAACCCCGGGTCAGGCCACATACAAGAATCAACCAATGCATCCATAAATAAGTGGAACAACAAATCCATGTTTCTCTCTCTCTCTCCCTTCCTCTCTCTAAAATCAATAATTTTTTTTAAAAAGTTACCCTGCATACTCAGGTAGTGAGTGTGTAGGCACCCACCTGCCCAGGTTTCTGAGCTGCCATGCTTCATCTGCAGGTGCGCTGGCCAAGGTGCAGGTGTTTGGGAAGTGGCACAATGTGCCAAGGAAGCAGGCGACGTACGGCGACACTGGGCTGACCTATACGTTTTCAGGCCTCACTCTGTCTCCAAAACCCTGGATCCCTGTTCTGGAGCGAGTCCGGGATCGTGTTTCTTTGGTGACTGGGCAGACCTTCAACTTTGTGCTCGTTAACAGGTGACGCCCTACTTGTTTTTTACTTTCATTTTAGGCCACTGCACTGATTTTATCCATCTCTGCCTCTTCAAAAGGGAGAGTTTAGGATTCCTCCATATTTGATTCCTTTGCACAACGGGTAACTCCTTCGTGCACAGGGCTGTAGTTGGTGGTGGAGTGGCATGAACAGTCGGTCTTCCTGGAACTCATGCCGCAGGGGAAGGGAGAGGTGATTCACAGATGAACAGCTGAACGAGATAATTTCAGACACTGATAAGTGTCTTGCTGATTTGACCAAGAATGGCCGGCAGGAAGGGGTCTGGGTTCAGGGCAGGGTTTCTCAACAAGATGCTTTGGGCCAGATAATTGTGTGGTGCGGACTGTCCTGTATATTGTAGGGAGTTGAGAGCAGCATCCCCGGCCTCCACCCACTAGATGTCAGTAGCAACCCTCCCGTCATTGCAACCAAAATGCCCCCAGACATTGCCCAGTCCCAGGGTGGGGCAGAATCCTCCAGGTTGAGAACTCTGGGTTTAGGGGATGGCGGTGAGAGGACGGCTCACAGAGGCGCTGACTTTTGCACTGATAACTAAATGGAGAGAGAGCAGGAGCCACACAGCCACTGGGGGGAAGGGCAGAGGTATCTTGGTGTCAATGGAGTGAAAAATCCCATTGATATTTCCAGAAAGCAGTGAATGAGGGAAAGAGGTCTGGGGTGAGCTCAGAGGTGGGCAAGGGCCAGACTGTGAAAGGAATAAGGATTTTATCTAGGTGTAGCGAGAGACTTTGTTATTAATCCTCACCTGAGGACATTTTTTCCATTGATTTTGAGAGTGTAGAATGGAGGGAAGGGGAAAGAAGAGAGGGAGACATTGATGTGAGAGAGACACTTCAATTGGTTGCCTCCTGCACGTGCCTGACCGGACTGGGGAATTGAACCTGTAACCCAGGTATGTGCCCTTGACCGGGAATCGAACCTGCAACCCTTCCGTGCGAGGGCTGACTCTAAACACTGGCCGGGGCAGGGAGAGACCTTTTCATGAGAAAGGTTTACATATGTGAACTGGGAGAACTAGAAAACATGTTTTGGCTTCTATTGGTGGTTGACTTTTAAAGCATGTGACCAACGAGGACTGGGTAACACAGTGGAAAGGCTCTAGGCGTGGCTCACCTGCAGGACCAGGTAAGGCCTCGCAGAAACTGGCATGCCGGGAGCGGCTTTTCACGGGGAGAACATGAGGATGCTCCGTGTTGGCGTGTTTCAGGAGCGAGCTGTGCTGTGAGCTGTGCCTGCTTCCTCACTGCAGGTATAAAGACGGCTGCGACCACATTGGGGAACACCGAGATGACGAAAGAGAACTGGCTCCTGGGAGCCCCATCGCCTCCGTCTCCTTTGGGGCCTGCAGAGACTTCTTCTTCCGGCACAGAGATGCTCGAGGGAGGAGCCCCTCCCGGAGGCTGGAGGTGGTCAGGCTGCCGCTGGCCCACGGGAGTTTACTGATGATGAACCACCCGACCAACTCCCACTGGTATCACAGCCTCCCCGTCCGCAAGAAGATTCTGGCTCCGCGCGTCAATCTGACCTTTCGTAGAATTCTGCCTACTAGAAAGTAAAAATATTTTCCAGTTAGTACTTCTGTTTTCTATTTCCTCTCTACTTGAGGATGGAGCTGACATTGCCTTTACCAACAGGGAAAGAAAAGGCTTAACATTACATAACAATTCAGAAAGAGGTGTTTATATCACATCAGTACATGATGAAATAGCCCTGGCTCAGTCAGTGGGAGCGTAGTTCCATACACTGAAAGGTCCCAGGTTCGATTCCTGGCCAGAGCACATGCCTAGATTGCAGTTTCGATCTCTGGCTCCAGCTGGGTGCATGGTCAGGGCAAGTGGAGAAGACAACCGATCAATGTTTCTCTCACATTGATGTTGCTCTCATTCCCTTTCCCCTCTCTCTAAAAACCAATGAAAATGTCCTCAGGTGAGGATTTAAAAAAATAAATTATGAAAGAATACCAGTTGATTTTTTCCTGAAAATGATTTTTATTGCTATAATACACAGCAGATACAAAAGGTACCTTTAGCAAGTACATAAATCAGCAGTTATTATGGCATAAACTACTACTTTAACTTAGGTTTTTGCAAAAAGAAGCTGTTTTGTAAATAACTTAAAACTAGAAATAAGATTATTTGGCCACTACGTAATGCCTGATAATTTACAAAATGAGGAAGTCAGCTTTAAGTCGAGTTAAGAGACTCTGCACAGTATCATTTTACAACCTTGGCTCCCACCCAGGCCTCTGACCAACAATCTGCTTACAACGTGTTCAAAGGATCAGCCCTTCCGTGCCCGGCATCTCTCTTTAACGGCAGGTTTCAAAGAGGAGCAGTGGCAGAGCAGCAGTTACTCAAAGCTACAGGTTTGCAGTGCAGTTTAAGGTCACACGACTGGGTATCTGTTCCACCAGCCTCGGGTAACACAGGTAGGTACGCTCGTTTCAACATCAAAGCCAGGGTCTGCCACGGAATCAGGAGGGAGCAGCAGTGAATGGATGGACCCAACGCTTCCAGCTGCTCCCCTCACCCCGCCGGCCATGACCTGGAGAACCTTCACAGTATGTTCTATCCGTGATGAGAGTCTGCGTCCTCAGGATGCGAGCTGGGCCTGGCGGGAGCGTGGCCTCTTGAGCTTTTAGCTGACACCGAGGCATCGTCTAGAAGTGTCCGCCTGCTCGCCCCCACCAGAGGAAGTGCAGGTCCTAGACTTACCTCAGGTGGCCTTGTGGGTGGGTCTGATTCCAAATCTTCTCTCTGAAGAGTCCATACGAATTTGGTATCCTTTTTCTTTTTTTTTTAATACAAAAAAAAATCTAGCTAAAACACAGACGCTCCCGTGTCATCAAAATGCCTTCGGCCCTGGTCTGTGTTCGTGAGGCTTACCTGAAGAGGGAAGAGAATGCTCACCGCAGTCTCTCTGAATTAGGCTGCTGGGAACAAATACATTTAGAATATGGACCTATAACAGAATGACAATACTAGGTGTCAGCTGAGTTCTATGTTTAAAAAATAACTTGGACATCTTTTTGTGGAAAAGCCTGGCCTTGGATGGTCACTGAACCTAACCCTTCACTTTATGATGCGGAAACAGGTCCATGGAGACTGCAGCCCGGGGTCAGTGCCTTTCCTTCCGGATCAGGCTCTCAGATCCAGGCAGGGCTGTCTTCTTACGCAGCCCCGGCCCCACCTGTAAGTCTTACGAGCTCCACACGAGCAATAAATAAATGGATGAGAATAACCGTCCAGCTGGGTCTCTATGTGAGAAAGGTTCTTCTACAGAGCAGAGGGGTCGCAGGTGAGCCGATGCCGCTCAGTTCTGGCTGTTCAGGTGGGTGTATAACCCACCCAGTCCCATACTGAAGGTAAAAGCAACAAGTGAGCCGGTCACTAGCACCGACGCGGTCGTGAACGGGTTCCCCGAGGGGCAGATTTGGCAGATGAGCTTTCACTGGATAGAAAGGGTCGGAAGGCTAGAAAAAGACGTACAAAAAGGAAAGGCAGGTGTTCTGTAGGCATCCGTCACCTGTCCTTCAGCCAGCCACTGAGAAACCTGGAAGAGAGCTTTTCAGAAAGTGTTGCTGCGGCTCTTAGAGCAAGTGCGTTTTCCAGAATGGACATGCTACAAAAGCAACCGGAAGTGAAAGGCACTTTTTCTTCTAAATTGTTGCCTTCAATAATTTCACTAACTCTTGTCAACAATTTTCAGATGGGCCTGCTTATTAAAAATAAAAGATCTGTGCTGAGACATCAGAGGACGTGACAAAGTTAACGCCCGTCTGCGAACACCTAGCATATCAGGATATAAAAACGATGTCTCCCGGAGTCTGATTTCTTTTAATCACCTGTATCAGGTGAGCAAAAAGGTGCTCTAGACATACGAGTGCTCTGCTAACACGACGAGGACACCTTGCGGTGCGCCCTAGCGAGCGGCTCCGGGCGGTTTGGTTTGTGTTGGGGCCACCTGCTCCCCGGGGGAACTGCTCTCAGAACACACCAGGAGGCGGGGACTCTCGCGGGGCTGCCTGCACACCCGCGGCCTGGCTTCGTCTTTCTCCTGACGGCGTGGACAGTGCCATCAGGTCTCGCTCTGGGGCCGGCTCAGTCACTCTTCAGACTTGTACTCCCGGCTCTGGTGCATCTTGGAAAGAACGCGCTCGTAGAACAGCAGGTAGGCGCTGGAGGACAGGACCTCCTGCAGGCTGGCCTTGCGGACGGTGTCGTCGGAAATCCACAGCCACTGGTTGCTGGTTGAGAGGGGGTTCTTGGCCGAAGGTGGGGACCGTCGGTAAGTCACGAAGTGTCCGGAGTGCATGTCTCCATGGTGGACGACAACCGCCATCAGCCGGAAGAGGTACGTGGAGGAGCTGAACGGTAGGAACAAATGCCAGTGGTTTACAAAAGCAAAAAGTAAAACAATCCTAGATATTCAACGACAGGGGGCTGATACAACGGTACATCCATACAAGTGAATGCTACATAACCATTAAAATACAGACCTATATTTACTGGTACGATGCCCATTCTATGAGTGTATAAGTGCACGCACACACATTACAGAGTGGAAGACATTAAGGATTTAACTGGTGATCTAGGTGGTATCCCAAGATATTAAAAATTTTCTGCTTTATACTTTTTCTACATACATTCATACATGTATGCACACAGACACATAACATATATTTAAATTTTATAATTCTTATATTTATAGTGACTTCCATTTTGGACAGAAATAAACAGGAATGCATAGTAATGAAGTTCCACCTATAAATGAAAGACAGCCATCTCCACACTCATTCACTTCGTGAAGAGCTAATTTTAGAAACCCAGAGAAACAGCAGCCTCCACGGAATGAAGGCTGCCTCTGTAGAACGGCTCACCTGTAGTCCGGAACCACCGGGAGGGGGAAGGGCATTGGGGCTGGCAGGGTGGGCAACAAAGATGGGGAGCAGGCACCATTCATAAAAATTTGGGTTTTGGGGCCCCCTGGCTGATTCAGAACTGCAAGAGAAAAAGGCCCGAGGCAGTTAAAATTAGCAACGGGTGTGGGTAAGCAAAACATGGTTTTGATTACTGATTACGCTGAAATGTAACTACCCAATAATGCTACAAAGAAAATATAAATACTTCTTTTTGTTACTGTAAAGTTTCCTGCCTTTTTGTCCCTGTTTTAATCACCAACAGGAAAAGCACATGGAGCTCCGGGTCCACTGGTTCACTTTGGTGGTTTTGTAAATCGCTGTCTGCTTAAGGGCCCGGGTCAGAATTCAGCAGTAGCTACGTTACTGGCATTTTGACCTAAACCTGCAGTTTCTCAACCTGGACATGATCGACATTTGGGATGGATAATTCTTTGTTGTGGGGCTGCCCTGTGCATTGCAGGATATCTAACATCATCTCTGGCCTCTACCTACTACATTCCTGTGACACCCCTCTCGGCCAGAAATGTCACCAGCCACGGCCCAATGTCCCCTGGGAGGCAAAATTCCTAGTTTCGAACCACTGACCTAAACCTTCTCTCTCCTTTCATTGTCAGCTTCTAAGGAATACCAACATGTAAGAGTGTTCACACATGCTCATGGGAGTAGGTACAATCATTAAGGAGATATTTACATCTCGTTTCCTCTCAAGTGTCACATGGGAGGGGCTTTAGTACAAGGAGTTCACTGTTGGCCTCTTTAACCATGGCCACCACGGGGTGACAGTGAGCAGACCTGCACTCCCACCCGGGAAGACGGTCGGGACTTGAGTGGGAGCATGAGGTGGTGGTTCAGGCTTGGAGCGCTTAACATCGGTGGGCTTCCTCATCTCTAACTCTAAAGCTCTCTACAGATGATATCAGATGCCTTTATAACACTGCCCAACACTGCCTTCTAGTGCCCGTTCCCCGCTGTTGGCCTGGGGACCAATCATTTCAACTCTTGACGCCTTGAATTTCTCCTCGGTGAGACTGAGGGTGATAATAGTGACCTGCTTCACTGGGACCCCATTCAACGAGGGACCTCAAGTGAGGCCAGTAATGGAATTAGATAATAAATAAGTCATTCAGTAGAGGAGAAGCATCAACCCCCGTGAGATGTTCAGTGATCTCTACCCAGGACATTTCTTCCCCACACTTTCTGTATAATTGAGATGACTGTGCTCAGGGGGGAAATAGAAATTCACTGGGCCTGGTTGGTGTGGTTCAGTTGGTTGGGCATCGTCCCCTGCACGGAAAGACCACAGGTTCCACTCTCAGTCAGGGCACATGTCCAGGCTGCGGGCTTGATCCCCAGTGGGGGGCCAGTAGGGACCGGGTAGGGGGTAACCGATCAATGTTTCTCACATCAGTGTTTCTTTCCCTCTCTAAAAAAATAAATAATCAATAAAAACATTAAAAAGAAAAAAAGAAAGAAAAATTAAAAAGAAGAAGAGCCTGGCTGGCATGGCTCAGTGGTTGAGTGTTGACCTATGAACCAGAAGGTCACAGTTCAATTCCCAGTCGGGGCACATGCCCAGGTTAGGGGCTCAATCAACAGTGAGGCAGCCAATCAATGATTCCCTCTCGTCATTGATGTTTCTATCATTCTCTCCCTCTCTCTTCCTCTTTGAAATCAATAAAAATATATTTAAGAAAATTTTTTTTAAAAATTCACTGGAATGATATGTGAACCAATTATTGCTTAGTCAAAAGACCAGACAGAAATCTTAAGCTTTTCTTCCTATATTTTTTCAAATGTGACAGTTTTTAAAACTATACATCTCGCCCTGCTTTGGCTTAATGGATAGAGCATGGGCCTGTGGACTGCAGGGGCCCAGGTTTGATTCTGGTCAAGGGCACAAGCCCGGGTTACGGTCTCGATCCCCAGGGTGGGTCATGCAGGAGGCAGCCGATCAATGATTCTTTTTCATCATTGATGTTTCTATCTCTCTCTCCCTCTCCCTTCCTCTCTATAAATCAATAAAAACAAACAAACAAAACTATACATCTCATTACTATATCATTTTAACCTCTTTTAAGAAATCTTACCCCTTCGGCCCCAATCCTGCTGTTTTCAAGAATTTCAGCAACCATTGGACAAGCCTTCAAGGCAGAAAAGCCCCAGAAGCTAGTGATACCAAACTCCTCTTCTCTGTGCTGCAGGCTCCCGCTGCCTTAGCTCCTCGGGCACGTACCTGATTTGGGGGCTGCCGGCCCGTCCTGCAGGTCCAGCGCAGGCCTTGCCTTCTCCTTCAGTTTAGGACTGTGTTGACCAGGTTTATGTCCAAGAAGGCGGTACTTGTAGATGTCCATCATCAGGAACTCGTTGAACTGCACATGCTCGTGCCGCTTCAGGGGCGTGCCGTGGCTGGACCAGCTCAGCCGCTGCAGGTGGATGCACAGACACTGAGGGAGCTGCAGGTGGGAGAAACCGGAAGTGCTGAGTGTCGGGAGTGGGCCCCCAAGAGGCCTCGAAAGCAGAGCCGACAAGGCGCGTGGTGTGGGCTCACCTTCCCTAGTTTTAACTGCTTAACGAAAGTGGTCCTCTGGTGTTCCACCTTCTCCCCATTCAACGTCCCTTTGGCTTCAATCTGGAATAAAAGAAACAACATCCATCTGCTGAAATTCTTGAAAGGACATCTCTGGAGAGCTGCCCATCAGGTTGGTGTTTATACCTGCACTCAACTGGCACTTGACTACTACCTGCTGAACTGAACTCAGCTGCCCAATTGTTTGTGGGTTTTCCGTGTTTTATTTCTTAAGTACCAGCGACAGTGGAGGCAGGAGAAATAAAAGAAGCTCTGACACTGACATTTAATCTATTCTGTTGTGTCTTTAAAACTTCTGTTCCACACACTCCCTCTTAATTCAGTTGCTGAGGGAGTTAGGCAGGTAGCATAGGTAAGGCGGGTGTGAGACAAGTGGGAATGGAGGGGATTGTAGCGAATCGGAGAGGGCATGTCCAATCTCAAAGCATGGCATCCAATTTCTTCTTTAAATATTTGGTGGATAAAACAGAACTCATCAGGGAAAGAGATTTGCTCCATGGGCTGCCAGGTGCCCAACCTTAGGTGGAAAGGGCAGTGGCTGAAAGGATCCTCGGCGAATAGTCAGAAGAGCTCAGGCCAATGGTGTGAGAGGCGCTCTACCGGGCACACAGGCTGCGGGGGAGATGGCATTCGGGGCTGAGGGCCTACCTTTGTGCAGTTGTCACACACAACATCCCGCACGGATTCTGATGAGATGAAGTGGTGGAGGCAGTGGTCCAGGGTCAGGGGATGACCCTACAGCACGAGAAGAAAACGCTTTATCACAATTCAAAGGGGAGCTACTGACACGGTGAGCAGATGGCACCACGAATCCCAGAGCTTTCTTTTTGCTCATGGAGGCAAAAAAGCTTCACAGACACAACTGGCTGCCTTCTGAACAAACCTGGAGCTCAAGCACCCTAGACTGGCTACTGCGACGGAGTCAGGGTATGAGGACATAACGCTGCAGACAATTATGGACTCCCACACTCTTTTTAGATATTTTTGAATATGAGATTATTATGTGTGTGCATGTATATTAAAAAGCCAAAATTTCTGCAGCAAGAGACAAACCGCCCACCTCTTCTCCCCCCAAATCGGGCCATGGTACTACACATTACAACTAAATGGGTTCAACCAACCACAGGTCTGAGTAACACGTGGCACCTGAGCTACACAAAATGCCTCAAAGCCCTTTCAGACTCCAATGGCTCCGAAACAGACCCCAAATGAACCATAGGTCAGTACATACCCAGGTGGCAGCTGGAATACTTAGTGAAAGGCTATCGAAGGTATCGAATCGAACAGGACTCTGAAACAAATATTGCAGAAAATCCAGACAGGACTCAAGTTCAATTCAAAACTTTATAGATGGGAAAATACATGCTTATTAAAGTTTAATATTTAGAGGTTCAACAATAACATAGTGAAACATAATATACTTACCTAGAAGCACACTCTACTGAAAACAACCTTGTAAACATGAAATACAATAATACTAATCAGCTTGGAAAATCTAAGATGACATGGCTGACCCAGAAATTTTGGGATTTTATCCTAAGGAAATAACCATGGACACAACTACAAAGATGCTCAGCTCAGCATTATCTATAACAGCAAAATGTGAATCGTTGGAATTTCTACAGAATGATTAAAAAATTCAATCATGTCCATGGAGTGGAGTGGAATACTTTATTAAAAATAGAGTAGTATAAGAATGTGTGATTATGTGGAAAGATGTGTGTTTTATTATTAATTGCTAAAATAGGGTAAGAGTTCCTGCATTTGGTGATGGCAGAGTAGCTTGATTAGACGAACTCTCCTTGAGATAACAATTGTAGAATCTGGACCCAAACAAAACAAAACTATGTGAATGACTGGAGAGCTACCAAAAGCAGGCAGAAATTGAAGAGAAGTCATGTCTTGGAAAAATAGGAGCTCCATGGGTGAGATTTGCATTGTGTGGCTTTTTGTCTGAAGGTCTCCCTAAAACAATGTACAAATTTGGTGAAAAACATAGATGCATAGATTCAAGATATTCAGCAAACTCTAAACAAATACAAAGAAAACTATGTTTATGTACTGAATGGGCAAACTACTGAAACCCCCAAAATAAAGAGGAAATCTTATAAGCAGCCAGAGAAAAAGTGACACTTTCTATACAAAGGGATGAAATGACTGATGCTGACTTTGCATTAGAAAAAATGCACATCAGAAGACAACAATGCCTATAAAGGGATGAATTTTAAATAAACCAAATGAAACCAAAAACAACAGCAACCCCAGATTCTATACCCAGCAAAACTATTCTTTTTTTTATTTAAAAAAAAAAAAAAGGGCAAAATGAAAAACATTTTCAGACAAATTAAATCTAAGTGAAATTGCTGCCAATAGACCTGCAAGAAATGTTGAAGGAATCCTTTTAGGCTGAATGGGAAAACCATCAAACGCACTTGGGTCTACAGAAAGGGCCGAAGAAAACTGAAAACAGCAAATGTACAACTGTTTTCTTTTTATTTTCTTTTAAACATATTTAACTGTCTAAAGCAAAAAGTATGACAGTATTATGGGATCTGTGATGGAAACATATGACAAAAATAACACACAAAGGATGCAGGACTAGAACTATATTTTTATAAATTTCCTGTATTTTACATGGGATATAATATTAACTCTAAATGGTTAAAATTGCATGATTTCATCATTAACCCTCCCCCCCCCCAAACTTAAAAAGTACAGCTAAAAGCCAACAGAGAAATTACAACAAAATACTAAAAAATATTCTAAGGAATCTACAATAAAACTTCTGGAATCAGTAAATGAGTTTTTGCAAGATCGCAAGATAGAGGGTCAATATACAAACAATTGTATTTCCATATACTAGAAAAAGATTTTAAAATCCCACTTACAATAGTATCAAAATACAAATAAAATGCAAAGAAAAGAGATGAATGGGAAAGTTCTAGATTAAAAGATATTTAAGACATATGAATTGTAAGTTATGGATCATTTTTTTAATCCTCACCCATTATTGATTTTAGAGAGAGAGAGGAAGGCAGAGGGCAGGGGAGAGAGAAAGAGAAATGGGGAGTAACTGCTAATAGGTCCAGGTTTTTGGGGGGTAGTTGATAATGAAAATATCCAAAAATTATTTGAGGTGATAGTTGTACAATTCTCTATTTCTGTATTATGTTGAAAAATTTCCAAGTAAAAATATATTTTAAAACCTCAAAAACAAAAAACAAAACAACAGTCCTAGAATCTGCTGTGTCCACCATCAGTATAGACCCAAACTCAGGACTTGAATTCTTGCAACCCACAGTGGGTCTGTGGCTCTTGGTGCAGAAGATGCCACCTGAAGATCAGTGAACATGTTAGTACTGACCACAGGGGGGCAGTCTGTCCACTAAGGACCAAGGCAATCACAAACGGCATATACCAGTTAGTCCACACTCTCTGACCCTTCATGAATCTTAAAAGAAAACATCGCGAGAAAATATAAAGCACTGGTGGTGTATTTACCTGGTGTTCACAGTGTTTGCAGACCATGTTACTAGTAAGTCTCCCATGAAAAGGATGCTGAGATTTCCAGTGATTGGATGTGGGATGAGGTGCCCCTGCAACACAAAACATCTTTGGATCTGCCACCTCCAGCTCCCTGGTACCAACCTCAAAATTCACCCTCCTTTTTATTTATTTTTATTTATTATTATTATTAATATATTTAATTGATTTCAGAGAGGAAGGGAGAGGGAGAGATAGAAACATCAATGATGAGAGAGAATCACTGATCGGCTGCCTCCCGCACGCCCCCTACTGGGGATCGAGCCTGCAACCTGGGCATGTGCCCTGACCAGGAATCAAACCATGACATCCTGGTTCATAGATCAATGCTCAACCACTGAGCCACGCCGGCAGGGCTACCCTTTTTAGTATGTAGTAGCAACGCTCTGTTTAGAAAGAAATACCCCTGAAAATTAAATTAAAAATAGCTTTTCTTATTGATATACATAAAAAAGACAAGCCATTTCCTTCACAGGAGAACTTATACAGGTCCTTAAGTGTGGTTTCTGTATAATGGGTACAGCCACATTTTAGAAAGGAATTTGTGGTTAGTGACGTCTTTTCATAAACATATGCTTCAAATGTTTGAGATGTCAACAGGATACCATAAGTGAACATTCCACGAAGCAAGATAACCTTCTGAAATACCATCAGAAGAAGCAGATTCTGAAAGACACTCTTTAAAAATAGAATGGGGGCTAGTGGAATAAACACAGTGTCATGTGCTCGTTAGACACACAGGCCCTAGAGTCTGGCTGCCCTGGGCTTATTAGCTATGTCATATCATCTCTACAAGCCTCAGTTTGCTGGCAATGGGGATAATTACTGTCCCATTATCACCAATATCAGGGGCGTGCCGTGGCTGGACCAGCTCAGCCGCTGCAGGTGGGTGCACAGACACTGAGGGAGCCAGTACTGGTACACAGTACGGGCTCCAAAGATAATCGTGTGGGTTTTTAAAAAATATATATTTCTATTGATTTCAGAGAGGAAGGGAGAGGGAGATAGAAACATCAATGATGAGAGAGAATCATTGATCAGCTGCCTCCACATGCCCCCTACTGGGGATCAAGCCCACAACCCAGGCATGATCCCAAAGGTAATCATTCTTATTGCTACTAATGCACAAAATAATTGATGTCTCTTTTTTTATATGTATATAAGTTTAAGTCTTAAGAAAACAACAATTTCCTTCTAAGGAGCACTGTGATCATTTGTAGTAAGCTGGCCAAAGTGGAAATGCTGAGAACATGAGTTTCAGCTTACTAAGTTCCTCACAGGGTCACTTCAGGAAGGTAAAAAGAGCCCAGCTGGTGTGGCTTGGTGGTTGAGCGTCAACCTGCGAACCAGGAGGTCACAGTTTGATTCCCTGTTGGGGTACAAGCCAGGACTGCAGGCTCGATCCTCAGTAGGGGGGCGTGCAGGAGGCAGCTGATCAATGATTCTCTCTCACCATTGATGTGTCTATCTCTCTCACCTTCTCCCTTCCTCTCTGAAGTCAATAAAAATATATTTTTTAAAAAATGTAAAAATAAAACCCTCCCTGGTAGTTGAAATAAGTCCGTTTGGAGGAAACTGAGCAGGCTAAGATGGGAAGGAATAATTCAAGACGTTCACAGAGGGAACCATTTAAAGCTGTCTCCAAAACACAGATTCCTTTGGGAGTACACACAGTTCAAGATGGATTAGGTGGCACCAGAAAAAAAAATGTAAATGAGCAAATGATTGTCATATCTAGAAAGTACCCCTCTCATGTGCTGCAGTTCAATGGGCAATGACTACCTCTTGTGCGGCAGGTTATCTGTGTGGGAGTGACTTCCGGCTGCTGCTGTAAGGGAAAGAGAAGCAGACTGAAGACCCCACTGCAACCCTTCTGTCACCCTCAGCCCACTCCCAAATCTCACAAGTTTCTGTGCTGACTGCACCACGAAAGCAACTTTCACACAGGTTTCTAAAAGCAGCCTTGATCAGCCTCTCTGGTTGGTTACTGTGCCTGTTCCTTCATCCAATGCACTCAAAACACATTTCCTCTCTCTGGAATTACCCCCCTTTACCAGTTAACTTTTATAACGTTTCAGGGAAATGAAGATTCACTTAGCATTCCCAGGGCTCTGCGTTCCCCTGTATATAAAGGGGGGTGAGGAACGCATTTTTCCCTTTTTCAAGCAGCACAAATTGCAGCCATGAATCATTCTGAAGTCTTCCAAGTCACTACCTGCAAAGCATGCAGTTTCAGACCCTCTGCCCGCCCCGCCCCCACTGCCGATTGTGACTGAATCTGACTTGTGAGTTTAAACTTGTACGAAGATAATACTCATAGTCCCTGCACCTATTAAACATGCACGAACCACATTAAACGCTTTGGAAATATTCGTGGTTTACCTCCAGGGAATGCACGTCAAACAAATGTGTGACCCGGGGCTGGCGGTCCCGCTCATCTTCCAGTGACGAGGTAATGACGTGGAATAACTCGTGAGCATCCTGCCAAAGGGCACAGCGTCCTTCAGAGAGGCCCGAGGAGGCCAGGGCAGCACCAGGAACACCCCCGTGTGGGCCCCTGGGCAGCCCCCTCCAGCCAATGTGGGCGGGATTTGCTTCCCACCTTCTCAGGGCCCGGCTCCTTCAATGGAAACAGTTCCGTCCTGGACATTTTCCCAGTGAAGACCCTCCCCAGCCGGAGAGCTCACTAGTGGGAAGGAGTCTCTAAATAAACCTGTTTTGAATGCTGTGTTCACCTGCTCTTCAAAGGAAGAGATCTGCCATCTGTACATCCTTAAGACGTCCAACAGGCAGCTTGCATCCAAGACCTCATCATCAGTAACTTCTTGGCAGGATAGAGCTGGAAACAAAAATGGTAACATACTTATTAAATTCATCAGTGAAAGACAAATATGATTTCACTTATATGTAGATTCTAAAACACAAAGGAATAAACTCAGAGAGAACAAACTGATAGTTGCCAGGTGGAAGGGGGGTTGGGAGGTTGGATGAAAAATATAAAAGGATTAAAAGTACAAATTGGCAGTTACAAATAGTCACAGGGATGTAAAGTACAGCATAGGAAATATAGTCAATAATATTATAATAACTATGTGTAGCATCTGGGTTACTAGACTTACCAGGGTAAGTTACAGAAACGTCTGACCACTATGCTGTACACCTGAAATTAATATATTGTCTTTTTGTTGTTATTAATCCTCACCCAAGGATATTTTTCCATTGATTTTTAGGGAGAGTGGAAGAGGGAGGGAAAGACAGAGAGAAACATCAATGTGAGAGAAACACACTGGTTGCCTCCTGCATGCGCCCTGACCAGGGCCTGGGCCGGGGAGGAGCCTGCAACCACAGTACATGCCCTTGACCAGAATCGAACCTGGGACCCTATGGTCTGCTGGCCGACCCTCTATCCACTGAGCCAAACTGGCTAGGGCATATCATATTCTGTATCCTGCTCTTTTAAACTTAATATTATAGCTTATATCCTCTCCCAAATTAGGAAAAACAAGACTTCATAAAGATGATTTGAATGGCTATGTACTACTCATAGATTGCTTAATCATTCTACCGAGGGACACGCATACTCTCTCCTTTTCCCCCCTTATAACTAGGTGTTGGAGATCTTTGTGCATACACCAGCAACTCCCAAATTGCGTTCTGTTGAATGTCTTCAGGATGTTAACAGATGTCAATGTGGTGGGTAGGAGGAGGGACAGTTCTGCAGTCAAATGTGGTTTAAAAATGAAGTTAGAGCCCAGCCTGCATGGCTCCGTGGTTGAGCATTGACCTATAAACCGGGAAGTCATGGTTCGATTCCCTGTCAGGACCATGATGCCTGGGTTGTGGACTCGATCCTCAGTGTGGGGTGTGCAAGGAGCAGCCCATCAATGATTCTCTCTCATCATTGATGTTTCTATCTCTCTCTTCCTTTCCCTTCCTCTCTGAAATCAACAAAAATATATATCTTTTTAAAAAAATGAAGTTAGATAAGTGACTTCTTAAAATCCCATGTATATCGCGACTCTCCGGGCTCAGGGCCAGGGTCCAGCCATTCCCACACCCTCCCAACCCCACTCAGGCTGGTGTAAATCACAGCCCACATTTCTAACTGTTTCCTTGAGCCAGGCTTCCAGACAAGGCCTTGCTAAGGCCAATGGTGCAGAACATTCAGCAAGCCATGACTGTGCAGCTCCAAACCGTTCCCTGAAAGTTCCCCTCCCTCCCAACAGTGTGTAGGAACATGTCATCCAACAGCTGGTCACGACCATGGATTTGTTCCAATCCTTGCTGACAGGCAAAAAAAACCACAAAAAAACAAACAACCCAGGGCACCTCGCTGTTATTTTATGTCAGTTAGGATGCATGTTTGAGTGTCTGTTAGATACACTTTTTATCTATCGAAATACAATTTGTATTATTTTTCTTCCTTCCTAGGCTAACATACTTAAAAAAAAAACACAAACCTTTAATGTTTTCGAAACCAGAGTATTCGATAATCAAAATGGTTATGTCACTGGGTTTTCTTCTTCCCTAGAAATCTATTACTCAACTGACAATTTTTAGAATAGCTGGTGATATATTTGCTTTTGCTTTTAAAGTAGCTGTTTGTACCTACTGGGCTCTTCGTGGTTTTCCCCGTAATGACCTGGACGATCTTTTCCTGCACTGAGGCTATTAACCCTTTGTCTACCATCGGAGCTGCGGCTTTGACAATGCACACAGTCCCCCTTCAGTGCCCAGCCAGATACCTTTCAGGAGGTGCAACAGTGTCAAGGATAAATACTGGTGTGGGGGGCGCTCCTTCTGATCCCCGGTGTACTGCGTGGTGAATTCTTCCAGCCACCGGATGAAGGCGGGGCAGGCAGACAGGCCTTGCAGCAGGGAGTTCATGAAGCAGGTGTTCCCCAAGTTCACAAGGCCAGGCACAAGCCCTAGAAGTGGGGCGGGGAAGAGAAGAGCACATCACCTTGGACCCACTCTCTTGCTCTCTCCCATTCGCGACCGAGTTTCTGCACCGTGGCCTTGGATTTGAAATCTGAACGTGAGAAAGTTCTCATCCACAGAGATCCGCAGCCAGGCATTCTGTCCAGGCTGAGCCCTAACCCTAGCACTGCTCCTTCAGGAGACGGCAGCGACAGATGGACAGGTCCCCGTCCGTCTGTGTTACTTTTGAAACCCACCACAGCGTCCGGTACAGTTCGGTTAACACTGAATGTACAAAACCCCATAGTAACATCTCTCTTTCCCTCCCTCATCCTCTCTCTCCTTTGATAAAAAAGCAATGCTTCTCAGCACAGAAGAAAACAATTGTTCTGTTGTTGTTCCAGGGACAATGACTGTGTTCTTCTAATCAGTGGGAAAGACACTACAGCAATTCCGATCAGTCTTTCTGCAAAGAGACCAACAAAATCTGGCACATTTCCCTCTGTTGCTGACATTTTTTAAAAAAACACAAACTTTTTATTATGAAAGTTCTCAAACATGCCCAAGAGAAGAGAGGATACATAATGAATTCTAATAACCATTCTCAGATTTAACAAAGATCAACATTTTGCTACACCTATTTGCCCCTCTCGAAGCTGACTTTTTTAATCAACAGAAGTAGAGCAACATTTACACAAGGGCACATTTTTACAAATAAGGAAATAGATGTTTGTGTTAATGAAGAAACTTGAAGCATTTAGTAGTGACTAGCAGCTAGTCAGTGAAACCCCAAATGCGTCATATAATTAGTCAGTTCTAATACTAAAAAACATAATTGCCATATTAATGAGAACACTAGCAATGCCGCCACTTTTACTGCAGGGTATAAAATGTGGAGCATGTAAATACTATTTTGATCTCAGCTACTGGTGATACTAGGGACTGTCTCAACTACCAACATTTTTCTAATATCACAACTGGTATGATGCAAAAAAAAAAAAATTAACTTCTGCTTAAAAGAAAGTACTGTTCAAAAACTGGAGATACAAGAGAACCAAAAATGCCCTCCCCTCTTTGTACTGTTTTGGGGTAATAAGGGTTTGGGTCAAGCCTATAGACCACGGTGCCAAGTGTAAGTCTTACCTTTTCTACGCTTCTTTCTTTCTGTGATGGGACCCCAAATAACATATATTCCTGCTGCAAGAGCAGCGGCGAGTCCACCTATCACACCCCAGTTCTTCATGACTTTATACCTAAGAGAGAAAATCAGTTTACTGTCTTCCCTCATCACAAACACATTCTGTGTGTATACAGATATATGAAGAAATAACATTCCGTCAAAATAATCCACTGGCTCCTGGCCGGTGTGGCTCAGGGGTTGAGCATCAACCTAAGAACCAGGAGGTCATGGTTGGATTCTCAGTCAGGGCACATGCCCGGGCTGCAGGCTCCATCTCCAGTAGGGGGCGTGCAGGAGGCAGCCGATCTATGATTCTCTCTCATCATTGACGTTTCTATCTCTTTCTCTCCTTCTCCCTCTCCCTTCCTCTCTGAAATCAATAATAATAATAAAAAAAATAATAACCCACTGGCCCACCAAATACTTAATTTTCAAATTAAAGTAACATATAGCAGAGGATTATGTCTTGAAAACCAGCACATTTAGACATGAGGATTTAGGACCTAAGTCAGAGCACAACCTGCCAAAAGCCCCATCTCACTGAGAGGAGAAGCCAGGGGTTTCCTCCTCGGCCCTCACTCCCCCGCACGCTGCCCGTCACACCACCTCTCCGGGCCTTGGCACTGCTGCTCCCTCTCCCTAAGCTCTCCCCCCAGACCCTGCGTGGCTCACTCCTTCACTTCCCCTCCACGTCTAACGATGAGACGCTGCGCTCCTGGTCCCTTTTACCCAGTTTGACTTTTTCTTTTCACCTTCTAATAGAAAATTCACTTATGCACTGTTTATGGTCTGTCTCTCTGAAATGGAATGCAAAGTCCCTGAGGGCAGGGCCCTTTGTTTAGTCACTAACACATCCCGAGTGCCTAGATCATCCTTGGCATGTAGAAGGTTCTCGATGATAGCCACTGAATGGTTGTGTATTGGAGAAAACATAGAAACGGAGTGTCATTTAGAGTACTAATGGAGAGGGGGCACACAACAGTAAATAAGATCTGTTACGTATTTATTAAAGATTCTTAATTTTAGGTTTGTCTTGGACACTGAAGTAATTCTTTTACTGCACATGCAGAAATTTCACCAGCAATTTAAGACTGTTTTTATACAAAGTTATGCATTTCCACAGAATAAAGCAAACCGTATATGTATATACATATATGGGCAATATACATTGTGTGTGTGTGTGTGTGTATATATATATATGTATATATGTATGTATATATATATTAGATATGTGTGTATGTATATACATGTGTATAATATATCCTTATTTCAATATCTGAATCATGTAAATATTGTTTTGACCTCAGCTACTGGTGATACTAGGAATTCTATCTTACAACTACCTACATTTTCCTATTGTTATAACTGATACGACACAAAACTGATCACTGAATTTCAAAATAAATATTTGTCTTCCCACGCAGAGTCCGTGGTGCAGAGAACTAGGTTAAGAAAGTGGAGTCACATTAATCTGGTCCGCCCCTGGCTCTGCTACTCCCTTCGGCATCATTTCACCTTCTAAGCTTCCCCTTCCTAATCTGTCAGATGGGGACCCTCATGAGCCCTACCTCACAGGCTTCTGGTGAGGGAAAAACAGGCGCGAATGCACAGGGTACACAGTAAGGGTAAATGTCACCTGCTAGGAGAATGATTATAACCTTAGTTTATTTACAAAAGTCATTCTTAAAGTTTCTTAAGGCACCGCTGTGCTGACTTTTACACAACAGGAGTATTCACAAAGGGCCTGGGAAGATGAAAAAGGACCGGCACTGAAATGGTAAAGCACAAACACCTAGGCTGCCAAACCCCCTTTTCAAACACTAACAGTTCCGAGTGCCTACTCTACGTCGGGCACCGTGACCGTCTCAGCTCATCCCCAAAACAATCCCACGGAGCTGGGTTCCAGGAGCACCTCCTTCTTTATAGATGAGGAAACTCAGAGCTGTAGCCAACTTGGTCAAAGAGGGTGAGACCGTGTGGATCTGAACTTGGGCCTGACAGGCTGCCAATCCTGTGCTTGACACCACAGAGCTCCTGAGGGACACTGAAGGGCGCCGCAGGTGGAAGGGTGGGACAGAGACCTTGTCCATGTCCTTGGCAGGGAGCACAGGGAGGCAGGGAGGGCAGTGAGGGCAGGGAGGGCAGGGACAAACCAACTTGGGAAATGCCTCTGCTCTGCAAAATGACAGCAGCACGAGGAGAGTATGGGCCCTGGGAGTGAAAAGCTCCGGCATCTCCCTCCAGGTCAGCTGCAGGGCCATAGGCAAGGCCGACTCAAGACATGTTTCCATCTACGGAGGGTGGGAGGGAGGGGGGGGCCGATGGCTCCCAGCCTGCGATTGTAAGTTCTTTAGAGCTGCTCCCGTTCCAGAGGCAGGAAGCTGACCTGAACAACAGGTCTCGGTCATTCAGGGACAGGACTGGGGGTGCAGGGCTCGGCTCTGACGCCTGGAACCCGTGGAGGGTGGCTAAGAGGAGGGAAACAGGGGGTCTGACAATGGGGGACAATACGGGGGGGGAGCTGGCAGGAATGGAGGACCGTAGCAGGACTGGGAGCTTTAACAGGTAAAGGCGTCCTGGCTGGTTTAGGGACCCCCTTGCAAGACAATGAGTTACTCATAAGATTGGGGACCCAGACCGAATAGGCGATCCCGGGCATAAGTGGGACAGGGACTGACGGGAATGGGGGAGGGGGCAGGGGTCGCGCTAGCCGGGCCCCCCGCATTTTGCAGGATTGGAACCATGCAGGGCTGGAGCGCTTGACAAGACTGGGGACCCCTGGCGGGCCAGGGCCTGACATGGCTGGGAACCCATAAGGATTGGGGGGATCCTGAAAGGATTAGGGGGAACTGGAAGGCCTGAGAGGCACCGAGAGGCCGAGGGGCACTTGAGAGAATAGAAGCCTTGCCAAGCCCGCGGTTTCTAAAGGTTCTGGGGACAGTGACAGGCCTGGAGGAGGCGCCGGCATGCTGGGGTGGGGCACTGATAAACCTGGGGGCGCTAGGAGGACTGCGGGGTGCAGACAGAATTGGCGTTGCCGAGGCCCCGGAGGCCCGCCGCCCCTCCCGCCTCGGGGCCTGGGCCTGCAACCCCGCAGGACGCAGAAGCCTCTAGAAGGCTTGCTCCGGCCTGGGGACCCCGACCAGGACGTGAAAAGGCCGCCGCAGGCCCGAGCTGGGGACTCTGGACCCGGCCGCTCCGGCCGCCCCGCCCCCCAAAGCTCACCTGACGGCCGCCCCGGTCCGCAGGAAGCGCTGGAGGGCCCTGTCGGCCGCGCTCATCGCCTCCTGGGCCCGGGAGCTCAGCATCGCGGCCGCGCGGAAGGCACGCCGCTCCCGCCGCCCCCGCCGCCTCGCCGGCCCCGCCACTCCCGGCGCTGACGGACAGAGGTCTCCCAGGGCTCCTGAGGCGGCGGAACCCGCGGTTAAAGTCCCAGCTCTTCAGGGGAAGGGATACCGAAGGACCGGCTCCCGAGAGGACCGGAAACAGCCGCCCCCGGAGAGGAAAAGTCGACGGACCACATCCTGTTTTTATTTTTTTTCCCTCCTGGTAGCAATGGGCCCTGGCGTCGGTTACTAAGGAAACCCTGCGGCCCGAGAACGCTTTGTTTTCAGGTTTTGCCAGGGCTCCGTTCATGAACGCAGATGCCCCTCTTCCAGGAGGGAGCCTGTGTCATTTTAATCTTTTTTGGGGTGAAGAGGGCGGCCCCTCCCGAAAGCGGAATCAGGCCTCGGACTGCAGGTCGTTATTGTGGTCAGAGTTAAGGTCGCGGAGGAAGGGCCTGGAATGATCGATCACGTGGCCCATCTCTGATGGCAGCAATGGAGAAACCGAGGCCTTTAATAACAGCCACCAGACTTGCTTTTTACTTAGTTGCATTGCTGAGCATGTCACATGCATTATTCACTCACATGCCGTCTTCACACCAACCTTAACGTGAGCTGCGTTTTACATCCCAGGAAACCTGAGAACTTTAGAGAAGTGATGTCTTTTGACACAGCTTGTAATTGGTGGAAATGAGATCGCCCGTCAAGAATACCGCTGTTCAATAGAAATATAATGCAGGCCACGTTTTAAATTTTCTAGTAGCTACATGAAGTAAAAAAACAACAACAGATGAAATGAACAATTCTTTTACTTGACCCAGTATGTCCAAAATATTGCCAATTCTACGTAAAAATTATTAGAGATATTTTACATTTTTTTTGTGTGTTAAGTACATTTCAATTTGGACCAGCCGCTCGATAGCCACACGTGGCCAGTGACTACCATATTGGACAGCACACCTTGCAACGCATTGGAGCCAGAGAGAATTTTCCCCTCTATTAATCACTTTCCCCACCTCCAAAGCAAACAACTGCAACTGTTTTAGTAAAGAAATCAATGCAGTGATTCTCTAAGTTTTTGGTCTGATTACCCCTTGGTATGCTTATAAATTATTAGAGCTTTTGTTTATGTGGGTTATATCTATATTTATAGTATTAGAAATTAAAATTAAGAAATAACTATTGTTCTTTTTTTTTTAAGTGAAGTACAATATATAATAAAATTCACCTAGTTTTAGTGTATAGTTCTATGAAGTTTTGGCAAATGCAGTCATGTAACTATTACCACAATCACCATATAGAATCACCACCACCACCCCAAATTACCCCCTGTCCCATTGTAGTCAACTCCTCCAGGGACTCAGTTTTCCTGAGTCCCTGGAAAACACTTATCAAGACTGAGAAAACAATTTAAGCCCAAGAGTATCAAAGCACATATTCCATTAGACATCAGAGCCATGACCTCATCACATTTTATATAGCTTCTGGAAAATTCCAGGGCACAACCATGAGTGAATGAGATTGGGAAAGGCAAATAATATCTGTTATTATGAAAATAGTTTTTACTTCAATAACCACCTGCAGGGGTCCCAAGGAGGGGTTCTGCAAATATACTTGCAGAACCTCTACTTTAAATGGTTTTTTAAAAATTGATTTTTAGAGAGAGAGGAAGGGAGAGGAATAGAGCTATGGAAACATTGATGAGAGAGAACTGTCATCCATCGGCTGCCTCCTGTATGCCCCCTACTAGGGATTAAGCCCGCCACCCAAGCGTGTGTGCCCTGACCAGGAATCAAACTGTTGACCTCTTGTTTCCTGGGTTGACGCTTAGCCACTGAGTCACACCTCCAGGTGAGAACCCCTCCTTTAACTTCTTGAGTGAATACCATGACATCCCATCCACAGATCTACTTAGAACTCTACATGGTAGACAAGTTTCAATAACATAGAGTATCCACAGCCAATCAACTCCCAAGTATTTTTGAGCACTTTGCATACCTTATCTGGATTGAATTCTCGCAACAGCCACATGCGTAATAACAGTAATAACATCACATTCATGAAGTTAGTATCTCCTCCAGCCTGGCCCTCCCTGCTCCTCTAACCAGTAGGGGTATGGCTATCCTTGACTAACAGATGTTCTTATTACTCATTATGGCAATAATGCCGCAGCCAGGAACCAGCAGGGCCTGCTCTAACACCTATCCGGCAGATCAAGGGTTTGCAGCACCGAGAGCGAGCACACCGTCACTATTTAGAGTCTTAGAGCTCTTCCAGCTGCTGGTATTATTCTGCAGGCAAATGGTTTATTCAGGACCCTCAGCTCCTGAGGATTAACAACCAAAAGCAGCATTTTCCCAGCTGCCCTCATGTGTACTAAGTCGGACCTCTCCCTTTCACACCATGGAGTAGGGCCCTTGTAACGCAATTTTGTATCTATGTTTAGAGACTCATCATCTCCTTTCAATAGACATATTGGTGTTCTCTTAATTTTTTAAATTTAAAACTCAAATCTGATTCAAAAGTCTTCTCCCTGACCCCAGGGGAGTGAGTGTCTGAGGGAGAGAGAAGGATAACTCTGTATTCCTTCTTCACTCCCTCTTCTGGCTTCCTGTGTGTCAGAAGGAAGAGCTCAGAAATTGTGATCAAGGTGTGACACAAAGTCACAAGAAAGATCTAGAATCCAATTAAGTATTTTTTAATATGTTTTAATATATTTTTATTGATTTCAGAGAGAAAGGGAGAGGGAGGTAGAAACATCAATGATGAGAGAGAATCATCGATCGGCTGCCTCCTGCACGCCCCACACTGGGATTGAGCCTGCAACCCAGGCATGTGCCCTGACCAGGAATGGAACCAGTGACCTCCTGGTTCATGGGTCGATGCGCAACCACTGAGCCACACTGGCTGGGCATCTTTTTAATATTTAAAAAAATTATCATTGTTCAATATTTCCCTCCAGATAGGTAGGAATCCCAATAGTAGGGATATGGGGAGCTTCCAGGTTAGCAAAGACACCCACGTCAGGAGGGTGACACCCCAACTCCACGGGGGCAGAAGCTCCTGCACACGCAGGACCCTCCCAGATCTCACCCTATGCATCTCACCCTATGGCTGTTCGTCTGTGTCCTTTATCATCTCCTTTAATTAACTGGCACATGTAATTAACTGGTAAATTACATTAAGTTAATTAAAGGAGATGATAAAGGATACAGATGCTTCCCTGTAGTGTTTCCCTAAGTATTTCTCTGAGTTTTAGGGAAGTTTCCCCGAACAACTCTAGCAAATTAATCAAACTGGGGGAGAAAATCATGGGAACCTCCAATGTATGGCCAAATCAGACAGAAGTTGTGGGTGACCTGAGGACCTAGGACTGGACATTGGCATCTGAAGTGGGGTGGGAGCTGTCCTGTGAAACTGAGCCCTTGACCTATTGGACATGACATTATCTCCAGGGAGATAGTATCAGAACTGACTTAAATTGTAGAGCACCCAGCCTGGCCGGTGTGGCTCAGTGGTTGAGTGTCGACCTATGACCCAAGAGATCATGGTTCGATTCCTCATCAGGGCACATGCCTGGGTTGCAGGCTTGATCCCCAGTAGCGGGCATGCAGGAGGCAGTCGGTCGATGTTTCTCTCTCCCTCTCCCTTCCTCTCTGAAATCCATAAAAAAAATATTTTTTAAAAAAAAATTGTAGGACACCCAGCTGGTGTCACAGAGACTTGCTTGTGTAGGGTAAACCACACACGCCTGGTGTCAGAAGCGTTGGTGCACGACGCTCCAACCAACTGACCCACCCACCGGGCCAGGATGCCTTGACATTTTCAAACAAGGGCTTAATCTCCTAACCAAGCCTCCCCTTTCTGCTGGCTCCTGGGGTAAGTCAGGAGGTACTTACACTGCCCAGCACAAGGCCAGGGACCGGGGAGTGACTCCAGGTGGCAGTGCCATCCCACCAGCACGGCTAGCAGAGCAGAGCCCTACCACCAAAGTCTGAGTTTTTCCTTTTGGTCTTTTATCCAGTGTCAGTTCTCAAAAAAAAAAAAAGACAAATCTCTTAATGAATTTAAATCCATAGGCTTCCCTTTTAAAATTAAGTGCCATTTTTATAACTACTAGAATATTGTCTTGATACAAAATAGGGTTTAAAACTCAGGTGATTGGAGAACCGCTGATACATAGCACATGCTTTTTATATTCAGTATTTCAGGCTAAGGGGCAACTTGTCAGGCTCTATTCCAGCCTCTATTTAAAATTTTTTAAAATCTTCATCGGAGTATATGTTTTTTTAAAAATATATTTTTATTGATTTCAGAGAGAGTGAAGGAGAGGGAGAGATGGAAACATCAATGATGAGAGAGAATCATTGACCAGCTGCCTCCTGCATGCCCCCCACCGGGGATCAAGCCCACAACCCGGGTATGTGCCTGTGACCAGAATAGAACCTGGGACCGTTCAGTCCGCAGGCCAACGTTCTATCCACTGAGCCAAACTGGCTAGGGCTGAGGATATGTTTTTTATTAAGAGGGAGAAAGAGAGAGAGAGAGAGAGAGAGAGAGAGAGAGAGAGAGAGAGAGAGAGAGGCTGGTTGCCTCCTGTACATGCCCAATAGGGGATTGAACCGCAGCTGCGGTATGTGCCCTGACCAGGAATCAAACCCACAACATTTTCGGTGTACAGGATGATGCTCTGAACAACTGGGTAACCGGGCTGGGGCGCCAGCCTCTATTTTTAAGATGTTCACTTTATAAAAAAAGAATCTGAGGGGGGAAATCATGGTGCTTTACGCCGCCGTGAAATAAAACCCATCTGGCTTTTGGCAGGCCCTCATTTCCCGGGCAGATGGATAATGCGGTTAGCTGGAGGCAACTGCCTTTATAATATTCCAGTCTGCCCAAGGAGGTCTCAAAGATCAGAGGTATAAAAATGCGAGCCATGTTTGTCTTGGCTGATAGTATCATCCAGATGTAACTTTAGAACAGGGATTCTCAATTCTCAGCAGCATCAGCATCACCTGGGACCCTCTTACAAATGCAAACACAGGCCTCTCCCCGGATCTGCTGAATTAGAAACTCGGAATGGGGCTCGGCTACCTGTGTGTTAATGAGCCCGTTGGGGGATGCTGACCCGTGCTCAGAAGTAAGAAACCATTGCTTTAGAAAAAGACCACCACATTTCTAAGAAAGACGAGAAAACATTATATTTTATAAGTTAATCAACATGTTATTTAGTAATTTGCTTCTCTAAGACATTTTTTCAATGCCTATTATGTACTAAGGATTCTTTTCCCAGTGTTCAGGGGTGCACCCCGGGAGTCCTCAGAGAGCAGGCGGAAAATATAAACGTACAACGCTTGCTCTGGCCCGGCTGCAGCGTGGACAGGATGGAGCGGACTGTTTTGGGGCCCGGGTTGCTAGTGGCCAGAGAGAAAGGAAGACCCGGGGGAGAAATGCTGTGCGCCCTCCCGCTTCCCAAGAAGCGAATAATCCTATTACATAAAAAACTCTGTTTACATGTTGGAAAAATTGGAAACAAATTTAAAAAGTACTTTTTAATAAAAAGGGACAGCTTTATTGAGATATCATTCGCATGCCGTATAGACAGGTAGAAATCAGGTAATAATGCTTGTTGGGTAAATGAATGAGCGATATTTGGCCTTCTCACACTTGCCTTACTTTTTTTTTCCCCCTTGATTCATTTCACTAGACCTTTAGCTCCGTGATGACCATGACACGTCTAACTTGTTCTCTCTCATATGCCCAGTGCCTATTATAGTAGGTGCTCAATAAACAGTTCTTTAATGCATGGACAAATTTAAAATTTTCTTTGTCATATTCTGCATTTGTTAGAGCAGCCTGCGTTTCAAGAATATTATACCCAGCCGTAACCGGTTTGGCTCAGTGGATAGAGCATCGGCCTGCGGACCGAAAGGTCCCAGGTTCGATCCCGGTCAAGGGCATGTACCTTGGTTGCGGGCACATCCCCAGTAGGAGGTGTGCAGGAGGCGGCTGATCGATGTTTCTCTCTCATCGATGTTTCTAACTCTCTATCCCTCTCCCTTCCTCTCTGTAAAAAATCAATAAAATATATATATTAAAAAAAAAGAATAGTATACCCATAACATTAATGAATCCCTATAGATAAGCATTTAGAGAGATGCCGTTCACCAAAGGGCGCCCATGGGTACCTCGCCAGCCATTTCACAGGCGGGCGTGCCCTAGGGGGACCCCAGCAAAACCCCACCAGCCACAGAGAGCCAGTCACTTCTTCTAACCAGAAGGGCGCTCCCCGCCCCCTCTCCCCGCACAGCTTGCTCTGCCCTCCGCCCCCTCCTCTCCGCCCACTCTCGCCGCGGTCTCCTGGCGGCGGAGGCTTTGTCTCGTGGGCTGGTCCCCCGGCGGCTGCCTCCCCCGAACAGCTGCCGCCAGAGGGAGGAAGAGGCGCGGGAGCTGTCCGGCACCCCCGGTGCTGAAACCCCGACCGCTCGTCATCCACCACCACCACCATGTAAGGGCCATGAGAAGGGCTCGTCCTCGCGCAGCGCGGACATGGAGGAGGACTTATTCCAGCTCAGGCAGCTGCCGTGAGTACCAGGGGGGGCGAGTGAGCGGCAGGCCGGCTTTCCTTGCAAATATGAAACCCTGCAGGGGGGCATCGCTGCGTGGCTTCTTGAATTTAAAGGGAACCGTTTCAGAGGAGAGAGAATTAGGCCTGGAGGAGAAAAGCCATTTTCCTACCCCAGGAGCCCAGCCTCTGTATCTGACTCAGTTCGATTTTTATTTTTTTTTTTTTTCAGATCCGTCAGAATCTTATGGGGGATCTACAGGGTGTTCTGCTTCCCCTTTTAATTGCTCTCCATCCTAAGGGGATGTTGAGGTCTGTGTTTTCAGAAAGCATTCGCCGCTGTTTCGCAATGTGGGCTGAATTTACGAGTCCATGCAATGACATGGGCTTTTCCCAGCCCTTCTCCTGTGCTGTGAAATTCCTAATTTTTCTGCAGGGGCTTCTGCAAGGGGGGTGAGGACTGAGGTTGGAAACTGGTGTCTGAAAAGCCAAGATGCCTTCCCAGAGGGGAGGCCAGGGCAAAGTCCGGTTGTTTAGGAAGCGTGTGAATGGGAGGGCTGTGCACCCTGGCTGAAACCTCTTGCCTTCTTCTGAATGGAAGGTTTTTGTAACAGCTAGAGTGAGACTCACTGTCAACAGCTTTCCTTGGGAACATCAGCAACACACTGCTTAGCGGATGGGCATTTTTAAAGCGATACCAAATTTGTTCTGAGACCTTTGAGGAAATATAACCAAGCAAAGGAAAGGACAGGGGCCTCGCAGGGGGGGCTTGGGGAGGTCTCCTACCACAAGCCCACGGTGATTTCTTAAGCAAATCCCAAGAGTCTGAGATGGGCATTAAAAAGCACACTAAGGGAGGACTGTTGTTTTAATTTTTAGAAGCGCTAGCCATTTGGATGGTAGCAGTAGACACCATTTGGATTTGTTGGGAAGGATACGATATTGTTCGTATGTGTGTATTTTCTTGACTTGAAACATTTTTTTTTCCCTCTCGCTAAGCCACTGAGGCATTCTCCCAAGTGACTTTTAGTGTGACTGACACAGCTCTCTGAGGCTCCGAGTCCTGAAGGATATTGCAATATTTACTTCTCAATCAGAGTAAAATTAATTTTCATTTCCAATGTTTAATTAATTCAAATGTTGCTTTTAGGCTTCCATTAATTGATCCACAAATAGCATAGCTTATGTAACACGGCATTCTTTCACAAATGCTGAAGGATGCCCAGTGGTCATAGCCAAAGGTCGATGTCTGAATCCATAACAATGCACCTATCTGAGCGCAGATCTCTCAAGGAAAACACACCACTTCCATCGAAAATAAGTATCATGTTCAAAGCCAACCTACTATCCCCAGGTGAAAAAATAATTTAGAGGCTGAAATATGAAATTTGGTCCTCACAATAACAATACGATTCATATTGGAGCTGCCGTTTTCCTGGGATAAATTTTCAAATAATGTCAGAGCATGTGAACCTGGCGAGTTACTCAAAGATTCGTGTATATTTAATTTACTGGTATGCAAGCCTCACACTATCGTGACAAGTCCTTCCTTCATGAAAAAAAGGTAAAATAACAGGAGGGTTTTACTTCTTTAAATTTAAAGAATAATTCATTTTATGTTAATAGATAAGATAAAGTACTATATCATCTACATACAGGGCAAGTTCAAAAAGAAGCACAAGAATTAAAAGTAAGTCTCTCTCTTCCCAAACCCCAGTTTTATGTTTCTTGATTATTTTTTCTGATATTTTATGCATATATATGTGTATGTGTGTGTGTGTGTGTGTGTGTGTGTGTGTGTGTATATATATATATATATATACATATATATATAATATCTAATATATACAATATCTATTAGAGACCAAATTGTGTACTGGTTAAGAGTATTGGCTATTGAGTAAGGGCCTTGGGTTCCAATCCTGACTCTGCCACTTCCTGGTTATGTGACTTTGAGCAAGTGACTTAACCTTTCTGATTCTGAGTTTCCCTGGCCATAAAATGGGGGTCACAGTTGTACTTGGTTCATGGGGTTATTGTGAAGCTAAAGTGAGACAATGTGTGCTACATACCTGACAGACACACAACATTCAACACATATTTACTATTATTATTACATCTGAAAGATCATTGGTAAAAGCAGAATCTATAGACTTCTTATGTTGGACTTCCAAAAATTGTCCTCTGAAAACCCCCAAATTACATTTGAATGGAGTCAAAATTAGCCCTGAAATGTGCTGGCCTCGGTTTATTTAAAATAAACAAAAAGGAACAGCCATGTGACTCTGAGTGGGGTACAAATCACGACTGAGATGGATTTAAGCCACACCCTGTGTATGTTACCCACAGATTGCAGGTAGCACATTTCCTGAGAGCAACATGGTTTAAAGAATCAGAGTGCCTTCTAGAGGGTTGGCGAGAGTGGGGTTTGGAACAGGCTCAGTCCCACGGGAGGCCAAGTGTTAATGGATAATAAGCTGCTAAGTAGTTTACGGGTCAGGGGAGGGGGAAAGGGGACGAGGGTGCCTAAGAAAACAGTCCTTCCTTGTACTTGGGCCTCCTTCACATAGCTCCAGGATGGTTCCTGTGAGACCACGGACAACCTGTGCTTTTCACCTGCTGTCCACTCAGGCTCCACACCGTGTTCCAGGACATTCCGGAGGCTGAGATTTTGTGTCTAGTTCTGCCTTATTGTGGGACCTTGTGCAAGTTAGACTTTTCTGGGTCTTTCCTTTCTAGGATGATTTCTTGAAAGCAAGTTTTGCAGACTACATTGATTGATGGATGGATGGGTTGATTCATTTATTCATTTATCCAATTTACTTGGGCGCCATCCTTGATACAAGAGACTCTACAACTAAATAAGAGAAGCTTATAACTTAGAGCTGCAATATATAATACAGTAATCACTAGCTCCATGTGGCTATTTAAATTTAAACATAGCCCTAGCCGTTTTGGCTCAGTGGATAGAGTGTCAGCCTGCTGACTGAAGGGTCCCAGGTTCGATTCCGGTCAAGGGCACGTACCTTGGTTGCAGGCTCCTCCCCGGCCTGGGTCCTGGTCAGGGCTCGTGCAGGAGGCAACCAATGGATGTGTTTCTCTCACATCGATGTTTCTCTCTCTTTCCCTCTCTCTTCCACTTTCTCTAAAAATCAATGGAAAAATATCCTTAGATGAGGATTTAAACAAAGTAATTAAAAAATGTAAACATAAATCATGTCAGTATGTGAAATAACTTTAATAATATAATACATATTATAAATATAATTTATAAATAAAATATGTGAAATTTGAAAAATCAGTCCCTTGGTAGCACTTAACCAAGGAGAAATGGTTCACTGTCACCCACTTCAGGCAAAAAGTAGGGAGAGCACAGGGAGCCTCAAGGTTAACCCACCAAAGCCTTTTACAACCTCAAGTTCAAAGCCACTCAGCCCTCATTATTTCAAACACATGGTAGCTAACTTCACTCTAAGGCAGTGGTTCTCAACCTTGGCTGCACATTAAAATCACCTGGGAATCTTTTCAGAATCCTGATTTCTGGGCCTCATCCTCCGGAAATTCTGTTCCTTTGTTACTAATGTTGTGGCCCCACCCCATAACAGCGGTTCTGGATGATGGTTGTTCTGTATTTTAGTTGTAATTTTGATGTGGTTGTGGGAGGCGGCCTATGCCGCCAGCTTGGTTCCTTCTCTTTTACTCTGTAATACAGGGTTGTATTAAATCTCAACCTTGACTCTATTCACATTTTTAGGCCAGATAATACTTTGTTGTGAGGGGCTGTTCTATGCATTATAGGATGTTTAGCAGCATCCCTGGCCTCCACCCACAAGATGTCACAACCACCATTCCAACTTCCCCCTGAGTTGGGACAATCAAAACTGTCTCCAGTCATTAGTAATATCCCCTGGGAGACTAAATCACCCCCACTGAGAACCACTGTTCTAAAGGGTCCTAGTTTAGACAAACTATTCTGCCCTTGATCAGAACTGAACGCAGGACTCTTCAGTCTGCAGGCCGACGCTCTATCCACGTCTCTTCATGCAAGACTTTAAGTGGCACCGTGAGATCATCACAAGGAGAGTTAAGCTTTCCTTCAATCTGGTAGCTTCATGAACTTAAGGGATAGAAGTCCAGAAACTCAGATGGAAAGAGGAAAAAAAAAAAAACCTTCCTTGTCTAAAATACCCTAATCAAGTCTCAGACCCTAACTTAAGGTACGAGGTGAATGAATTTCATGACGGTACAAACAAGGTCTTGACTGTTGACAGCTAGTTCCTCAAGCTCATCTCTCCTTTAAACAGCAAAATTATGTAAAATAAATGTTCCCAACTATTTTGGTGAATTATATGCTATCTATACCCCACAAATGCCAGGGAGTTGTGAGCCAGCCTGCTTTGAAGCCCTCATATATTTAACATATGTCACTGCTATTTTCTTTCATATTTCTTTCTCTCTCTCTCTTGGGAAGTGTTGGCTCGTGTATTCGATACATACTTTTAGAAACCCGACCCATTCAAAATGAGGCCCGGCTTTCTGAATCTAATTTAATGTCAAAGGTCCCCTGTTATGTCTGCCTCAAGGCAAGTGTTCATAAATAAATAAAGTGTTCATAAATACAGGTGCCCTGGCTTCTTGCGTTTAGCCAGAGGAGGACTGTGAGCAGATCCTGGTGTAAAACTGCAGGGAGCTAAGCCGCTTTCTCAAGGTCACATTCTGCAAAGGTCAGTGTACTCCATGTTCAAGGCAGAAAGGTGGCCTGAGTGGAGCCGGGTGGGAGGCAAGCTCATACTGTCTCCTGGCCTGCAACTGCCCGTTCATCAGGCTCGGTGACACTTCACGACGGTCCTGCACGCCCGTCATCGTTCCCATTTCACAGACGTAACATGCTCAGCAGACGCTGCCCCATCAGCAAGAGCTCCGTACAGAGTCGCGATTGTTACGTATATTTATGATTAATGTACAGATGCCCAGGTTCAAAAATGCAACCATTACAAGAAGGGTCCAAAATAAAAGTAAAGACTATTTCCTTTCCCTCGCAAGGAAATCCTCATTTCCATCCAGTCCTCCTTCCCAGAAGCAACCAGTCTTCAGCGCTACGCCTCCTTCAATAATCTACAACAGCGCTTCTCAGACGTGGCCGTGCACGCATTGCCTGGGGACCTGGTTAAAATGCAGATGCTGACCTAGTAGGCCTGGGACAGGGCTCCCGCCTGCAGTTCTAATAATCCCCGAGGGCAGTGGTCGGCAAACCGCGGCTCTCGAGCCACATGCGGCTCTTTGGCCCCTTGAGTGTGGCTTTTCCACAAAATACCACGTTTTTAGCAAAGGCCAGCTTAGGAGTACCCTAATTAACTTAATAACAATGTACCTACCTATATAGTTTAAGTTTAAAAAATTTGGCTCTCAAAAGAAATTTCAATCGTCGTACTGTTGGTATTTGGCTCTGTTGACTAATGAGTCTGCCGATTGCTACCCTAGGGGACACTGGGCCTCTGGTTGGCGACCACACTCAAGCCTTCATGGCAAGGACCTAGAGCACAGGATCATACTCTAGCATATTTAATAACGAGCCCAACAGTTTTATCCTGCTGGCTCTGACAGATCAACTTGTGTGTATGCGTATGTATGTGTGTTTATTGTGATACACTACGCATTACATAAACTTGACCATTTTGATCATGGTAAATGTACAGTTAGTGGCATTAAGTACATTCACATTGTGTAACCATCACCACTGTCCATTCTCCAGAATTTTTTTATCTTTCCCAACTGAAACTCTATACCCATTAAACACTAACTTCCCCATCCTCCCTCCCTCCTGCACCTACTTTCTATCTCTGTGAATTTGACTCTTTTTTGCCCCCTCATAGAGGTGCACAATATTTATCCTGATGTGTAGGCTTATTTCACTTAGTGTAACGTCTTCGAAGCTCATCCATGTTGTAGAACGCGCCAGAATTCCCTGCCTTTCTAGACCACACTGTGTTCATCCATCCGCTGACGGACACATGGATTGTGCTTGTCTTTGGCTATTGGGACACAGATCAGCTTACAAACAGTTTTGAAGACATTTTCTTAAGTGGCTGTGCCACCCTCTCTGTCGTTCCTCCTCTCCCAGTGATGGTTTCTGGGTTTGTTCATACTTGTCACATTGAGAGGATAATTATCACATGCGAAGCTGCAAACAGCCTGTGAGCTTCAGAGGAGCATAGCACCAGCAGAGAGGCTGGGAGTGGGGACTCCGGGAGGGCAGGTGGCGTTACCAAAGCCTGGCTTACACACCCACTGTGTGACCTTGGACGAGCTCCCAGCCCTTCCGTGCTCGAGCGTCCTCATCCGGAACATGGGGATAGTGAAAGTGAAGGTTAAATAAGATAATCGATGGCAAGTGCACATCCTGGGCCTGACAGGCGGCTAGCTAAGAATCCACAGCGGGCCGTTCTGTGGGCGGCGAATCGTCGCCTGCTTGGGTCTACCCCAGGGGTCCTCAAACTACGGCCCGCGGGCCACATGCAAATACAAATATTGTATTTGTTCCCGTTTTGTTTTTTCACTTCAAAATAAGATATGTGCAGTGTGCATAGGAATTTGTTCATAGTTTTTTTTTTAAACTATAGTCCGGCCCTCCAACGGTCTGAGGGACAGTGAACTGGCCCCCTGTTTAAAAAGTTTGAGGACCCCTGGTCTACCCGGACAATGAACTGCCTGCACCGCCATTCTAGGTGGACACACAGAGCATGTTACCTTTTGAAAGATATCACAGGTCACCTTCCGGAAAGGTTGCAGTGGTTGCTGTCAGTCACAGACAGAAGCAAGGCCCCCCCCGGCGGCCCTCGAGGAGAGGATGCGATCAGAGCCGTAGTCAAGGAAGATTTACGGGCCGCAGAGCCATGTCCTTCTCGGATGCTATCCTCAGAGTCGAGGGTGACTCACTGACCTTTCCTTCATCCCTGAAAACGAAGTGAGAATGTGCATAAATGTTCATGTCCTTCCTTTGCCTAATACGTATCGATGTGTTCGTCGTGTACAGATAGGTGCCTTGGGGGACTGTGTGTGCTTTTATTTTGGGGTTGCTTCTTGGGGACAGAGAGTCCCTTCCTGGAACCCATTTCACACTACCCCTTATTCTGTGGGTTGCAGAGTTGAACTGTCCCATAGACAGGGACCACACTGACCAGATTTAGCCATACTACGCCCTTAGAGCAGTGGTTCTCAACCTTCTGGCCCTTTAAATACAGTTCCTCATGTTGTGACCCAACCATAAATTATTTTCGTTGCTACTTCATCACTGTCATGTTGCTACTGTGATGAATCGTCATGTAAATATCTGATACGCAGGATGGTCTTAGGCGACCCCTGTGAAAGGGTCGTTCGACCGCCAAAGGGGTCGCGACCCACAGGTTGAGAACCGCTGCCTTAGAGAGACAGGGGCCCCAGATGGCCAGATAGCCTACTGTTTTAAGAGACATCAGAAGTCTTGCCTTTCATGTGAATTCTTTCAATTAAAAAAAAATGTAGCCCTGGCCGGTTTGGCTCAGTGGATGGAGCGTCAGCCTGTGGATTGAAGGGTCCCGGGTTCGATTCTAGTCAAGGGCATGTACCTGGGTTTCGGGCACATCCCTGGTAGGAGGTGTGCAGGAGGCAGCTGATCGATGTTTCTAACTCTCTATTCCTCTCTGTGGGAAATCAATGAAATATATATTTTTTTAAAAAACGTAATATCCACTTAAAAAAAAATCCCATGTAGGCAACTTCTTGTGGGCATGATGTAACCTTCAGGTGAGCACGTTGTTATCTCTGCTACAGAGAGATGAGTCTCAATTCTGAAACACACAAGCTCCCAAGCTATTTAAGTCTAGAATAAAGATCTCCCCAGTCCCATAGCCTACCACGTGACTGGAGCCCCATTGGAGCTGTGCGGTGCTCAACCTGTACAACCATATGTGGCAGCCCTGACGCACGACTTTGGAAGTTGTCAGCCTCTAAGGCCAATTCAATAGAAACGCCAACCTCCTACCCATCCAACTCCCCTGACCATGAAAAAAAGCCGTTCACCTGTCTTGGGCACAAGAGCTGTGCAGCAAGGCTGTGGAGGGGGAGTCCTAGCCTTCGTGACCAGCTCTGCTCTCTCCTCTAGGGTGGTGAAATTTCGTCGCACGGGCGAGAGTGCGAGGTCAGAGGACGACGCGGCTTCCGGAGAGCATGAGGTCCAGATTGAAGGGGTCCGCACGGGCCTACAGGCGGTCGAACTAGACGATGGGGCAGCTGTGCCCAAGGAGTTTGCCAATCCCACCGACGGTGAGGGGGCCCTGCTTTTGGGGCATCAGCCCAGGCCACAGTCAGGGGCTCTGAGGGGCCTGGGTTGCCTCCCCAGGTGGCACTCTCAGGGGGATCTCGTGAAGAGGCAAGTAGGAGGGCCCAGAGGGCACAGGGGTGATACTGAAAGTGTGAGCTGAACTTACATGGCTCACTTCAGCAGGAAAGGTTACATCACAATCCCTGCCACCAGCATCACTGCATAACACTTAGCTGAGGACAGCACACATGATGATGTTGGTGGTGATGGTGATGATGATGAAGGTGGTGATGATGAAGGTGGTGGTGGTGATGGTGTCAGTGGTGATGGTGATGATGATAGCAGTGATGGGAACAGCTGACATTAGCTGCGGATTCACTCTGTGCCAGGCACTGTTTGAGGCACTTTATTCAAATTACCTATTTAATTACAACATTTCTAATTAGAACTATTACGATCCATCTTCCCCTTCTTAGCAGGAGAGGAAACTGAAGCACAGAAAGGTTAAATATCTTACCTTAGTCACAGCTAGAAATTAGCCCCGCTGGATTTACACCCAGACGATCTGACCTCGGAATCCACTCCTACCCAGGACCTTGTGCTGCCTCTGGGTAGAGCTGGGCAAACCCAGAGACCTGAGGGGGTGCTGTGGGCCCTGGTCTCTCCGCATCACAGAACATTCCATGCACTCCTGAGAGGCCCCAGATTCCCAACAGGAGAGAGGATGAATGACTTGACCCCAAGGCCTGTTGTTGGCAGAGCTAAGGGGGCCAGGACTAGGGAGGAGGAGGCAGTGGTTAGGAGCAGAGGCTGGTCTGAGCTCAACTCCCAGATCTACAGTGTGCCAGCTGAGTGACAGGGGAACGTCCATGTCCTCCTCTGTACATGAGGCTAAGACGGGGCCTTAACGGATAGCTGTGACAGGGACGAAACGAGAGAATGCACGTCAAGCTCCTAGCGCGGTGCCTGGCACGTGGTGAACACTCGAGAGTGCACCCTTATGTCATCATTACTCTTCATATTACTGATGATGTCATAGGACTCGCTCTGCTGTCTCCTCAATATTTTTTTAAAAATATATTTTATTGATTTTTTGCAGAGAGGAAGGGAGAGGGATAGAGAGCCAGAAACATCGATGAGAGAGAAACATTGATCAGCTGCCTCCTGCACACTCCCCACCGGGTATGTGCCCGCAACCAAGGTATACGCCCTTGACCGGAATCGAACCTGGGACCCTTGAGTCCGCAGGCCGACGCTCTATCCACTGAGCCAAACTGGTTAGGGCTCTCCTCGATATTTTTGCCAGGGGAAAAACACACAGAACCTGCTGGTGTGATAAACATCAGCTCACACTTCTGGAGAACATCATGGCTGACGTTAGAGGCCCATGATTGAAATTCCCAAAAGATGTAAATTGCCAGCAGGGACTGTTGAGATCCTGAGAGGCAGCCCAAGAAGGGCCACCAGCAGGATCCTCTAATATTTTTATTGTTTAATTAAATTAAAAACTTTAAAAAATATTTTATTAATTTTTAGAAAGAGAGGAAGGGAAAGGAGAGAGAGAGAGAGAGAGAGCAAGCCCCAGGGCCAGGGATCTAACCTGCAACCCAGGTACATGCCCTTGACTGGGAACGGAACCTGTGACCCTTTGGTGCTCCGGCCAACGCTCTAACCACGGAGCCACACTGGCCAGGGCAGTTTTCCCTTTTGTAAACCATGTTGCAGTGGGTTTTGCAGCAAGGTATCTTTTCACACTTGCCAGAATATTCTTCTAAGATAAATTCTAGAAGCGACATGTGCTGCGTTTAAAGAGCTTGGACACCCCCGGGACACCCGGACACTAGGACACCCCCATGGACACCCCCATGGACACCCCCGGGACACCCCGACACTAGGGCAACTGCAAGATGCCCTGACTCCGTCCTCCCCTCCCCCTCCCTCCTTTCCAGATACTTTCATGGTGGAAGATGCGGTGGAAGCCATTGGGTTTGGAAAATTCCAATGGAAGCTGTCTGGCTTGGGCAAGTATTTCTGGGCAGGGACCTCCCGTTCAATCTCCAAGAAACCCTAACTTCTGCTGCTCCACTGGGTTTCCATGATCTACGGGGAGGGACCCAGCTCTTTCCACAGAGAGCCTCGGGGTGAATCAGTCAGGGTCATGATGGTGGTCATGGAGGTCAGTGCTTGCGGGTAATGTTGGCAACTGCCCTCAGGAGGAGTGGGCGCTTCTGGCTAATTAAACGGCTCTCCGTCCCTGGGGGCTCAGGGCTACGCTGAGACCGTGACGTCATCTGCGGAGCTCCCCCTAGAAAAGCAGGTACAGAGAAGAGTGAGCCCTTTGCTTCCCAAGTCTCACGTCTCTTGTTAAAATCCCCTCGTCTTCCTATTGCAAATAACGCATCTCGACCGGTAATACAACCAAAATTGCTTTTGGGGAATGGTGCAAGAGGGCAACCGAATTAAATATTTCCCAAAATAGATGTTTAATTTCCCCACTGATTTGAAAGGCCACCCGTATCCCCCATCACCTTCCCACGCCCACATAGGTCTGCTTCTGGACTCTCATTTCTGCCCCCTGGTTCGGTCTACCTCGTCCCATAAAGGATGTTTCATTACTGGCGCTTCCTAGTATGTTTTAATATATTAAAAGGTCAGACGAGAGAATTCTACAGGAACAAGGGCCTTTAAACCAAAGACAAACTAGTCTTTAGTTGAACTAAAGAGAAAAGATTCTTGTCTATCTCTGTAAAAAAAAAAATTTCTCAAATTTTTGAAATGCGATGTTTTCCCACTCCATTCAGGGAATGCCTTTATTTTTTTAAATACGGAAACACACACACACACACACACACACACACACACACACACACACACACAAAGAATGTTGAATGGTTAGTTGTCAATTCCCGCATGTACCACACACGCTTATCTACCAGAGATTGTGGTGTGTTTGATGTGTGGTAGGGCGCTCAGCAGGCAATGGAAGAGGGGTTCTTGCATGCTCTCTCTCGAGGGTCCCTGAGTGAGGGGTCAGCCGCCCAGGCTCTCATGGGGGAGGAGGGGTCCCTGAGCCAGGGGTCAGCCGCCCGGGCACCAGGCAGCGTCCTGGCTCCTGACACCTGCTTGCTCCCCGCAGATGGCCGACGCCATGGAAATGATGATCCTGAGCATCCTCGCGCCCCAGCTGCACTGCGAGTGGCGGCTCCCCAGCTGGCAGGTGGCCTTGCTGACCTCGGTAGGCAGCAGCGGCTCTCCCGCTGGGTCCAGTTCCGGTCCCCTGGGGTGGTCTGTGGGGGGCCCCTCCCCCTGCTGCTGCCAGCTGCTCAGCAGAAAAGAATGAAACTCTCTGCATGGAAACACCATGACCTCAGCTCCCTTTACTCCCCGGTCGGTTGGCAGCCACCTCTACTGCACCCAGCGGTCCAAGTCCCTGGGGTCCCCAGACATCAATTGCCGGGAAGTTGCAGGCTACTTGGGCACATCACGGAGACCTTATACACCTCATTCATCCAAAAGGGGGTGCCAATACCTCCCACAGGAGGGTGATTTGAAGATTTTATTTTTTTATTTAATAAGTTTTTATTGATTTTAGAGAGAAAGATAGACACATCGACGAGAGAGAAACATCAATATCGATTGGCTGCCTCCTGCACACCCCCTGCTGGGAATCGAGCCCAAAACCCAGGCATGTGCCCTGACTGGGAATTGAACCGTGACCTCCTGGTTCATAGGTCGATGCTCAATCCCTGAGCCATGCCGGCCGGGCCTGAGCAGGTTTCTTAACCCTTCTGAGCCTCAGGCTTCCCTTCTATAACATGGATATGGTGATTCCAACCTCACTAGCTCAGTTCAAGGATTAACAATGTAACAGTGACTTTGCCCAGCACAGTCAGTGCTCCATGAATGCTTTCTCTTCTAATGGGTTACAGCTCCCATCCCAACCTCCTGTCTCCTGTTTTCATACTCTCCAAACTCTGTCTTGCAGCCTTTGATATTTTCTTAGCAACAGGACAAGAAATCAATAATACTTGCAGCCATACTGCCTGAGTCCAGCCAGGGCTGCCCCACTTATAGATGTGTGACCCCCGCCAAGTGACCTCCCCTCGCTGAGTCTCAGTTTCCTCATCTGTAAAATGGGGACAGTAACAGTACTCCCCTCCCCTAGGATGGTTGTGAGGTTTCGACAGTAGCATGGAGCACCCAGAATCGTGTTTGCCCCTTAGCCGGATCTCAGCGAATGCTGGTTCATTGTTATCGCTAGGGTGTGACGTCGCAGGTTCCATCTGGTGTGCCCTTTCTCTGCGATCAGTGTTCCGTGTCACCGTCTAACAGAAACCCTCTTTCCACCCACAGGTGGTCTTTATCGGCATGATGTCCAGCTCCACCCTCTGGGGAAACATCTCAGACCAGTACGGCAGGAAAACAGTAAGGCCATCTCTCCTAAGCGCCTGTCCCCTAGCCTCAGTGGTCGGCAAACCGCGGCTCGAGAGCCACATGCGGCTCTTTGGCCCCTTCAGTGTGGCTCTTCCACAAAATACCGGCTCTTCCACAAAATACCAGACTTCTGCGCATGGGCCACGAAGTTTCAATCGCACTGTATGTGCGTACCCCGCACGTGGTATTTTGTGGAAGACTTCCACATGAGAGGAAAGAGCCGCATGTGGCTCCCGAGCTTCGGTTTGCTGACCACGGGCCTAGGTTATCTCCGTGGTGACTGCGACAAGTAGCAACACTTAAGCTGCTTGAGCACGTGGGAGGCCTAGTTAGGAGTCTTGTTGATGTGCTATGAGAAGACATTGCGCTGGGGCCACTGTGGAGTCTTGAAATCACACATTCCCGGGGTTGCCCAAGCATGTGCATGGCAAGACCCTTTGGGTTCCTAGGAGGAAAATCTCCATTGAGCTAGCTTACGCCCAAAGAAAGGAATTAAGTCTGTGTGTGGCAGGCACCAACTTCATAGTCATGGGCTTAGGAGTGCATCAGTGTTGTTTTATTATTATCGCAATAGATCCAGGGCTTCCTTCTTGAATAATTCCTGTCCTACCTGTTCTCTTAGGTACCCAATACCTTTATTTGTATCCATTGTTGTGTGTGTAGTTTAATGACATGAATTCTTTTGGGGGGAAAAGAAACTCTACCGAGCGTCTTAAATGGGAAATCAGTAACAATGGCCCTAAGGCAGTGGTTCTCAACCTTCCTAATGCCGCGACCCTTTAATACAGTTCCTCATGTTGTGGTGACCCCCAACCATCAAATTATTTTCGTTGCTACTTCATAACTGTAATGTTGCTACTGTTATGAACCGTCATGTAAATATCTGATAGGCAGGATGTATTTTCATTGTTACAAATTGAACATCATTAAAGCATAGTGATTAATCACAAAAACAATATGTAATTATATATGTGTTTTCCAATGGTTTTAGGTGACCCCTGTGAAAGGGTCGTTCGACCCCTAAATGGGTCGCGACCCACAGGTTGAGAACCGCTGCCCTAAGGAAATATCTGCAAAAGTACATACAATGACAATAAAACAATGTTATTAAGTTCTAGCTGCTCACAGTCGCCCACTGCTCTCTTGGTTAAAAAGAGAGATTGGTAGGTGGTCCAAAAGGTGTTAAAGACACACTGGCACCACGAGGATGCTTCCTTTGGCCATAACCAGAAGAATGACTATTAAAATGAAAAAGAAATCACTTCCTTGCAAGGTGATTCGCAGTTATTTGAAATATTCTCTCTATTAGTTAAAGTCATGTTCCCAAAGACCCAAAATCAACTGATAGACCTCCAAATTTCCTCTCTAGTCCTTTTCATTTAGTTTAAGGTTTTAAAAATATATATTTTTTAAATTGATTTCAGAGAGGAAGGGAGAGAGAGAGAGAGAGACATCAATGATGAGAGAGAATCATTGATTGGCTGCCTCAGGGATCGAGCCCACAACCTGGGCATGTGCCCTGACCAGGAATTGAACCTTGACCTCCTGGTTCACAGTTCGATGCTCAACCACTGAGCAACACTGGCCTGGAGGACAAGTCTTCCTGGGTCTCATGCACGATGGGACATCTTACACCTCTGGGCCCTGGCTATCCATGCCAATCATTGGGGCAACTAAGAAAGCCCCACAATTTTGCCACATACCTCCTAGGGGTGGGCAGCACCCACACAGAGAATCCTTGGTTGCATGGGTCCCCCTTGAACAGGACCCTATGGGTGACTTTAAATATGTGGGGGCCCTGAGACCTGGCGGTGCTGAGCAGCCCTGTGACTTGGTGTCTCGCATCTGTGCAGGGGCTGAAGATCAGCGTGCTCTGGACTCTGTACTACGGGATCCTCAGTGCTTTCGCGCCCGTGTACAGCTGGATCCTGGTGCTCCGGGGCCTGGTGGGCTTTGGGATCGGAGGGGTCCCCCAGTCGTAAGTAAATACCCAGCTCTGGCCTCGAAGCCAGGCAGCCAGTCACCTGTGGCAGGGCCTCGAGGTCTCACAGCTAGTAAACAGCAGAGCTGAGATTTAAACATCACTTGATCCTCCAAGCATCCTATCTTCACTGTATCCTATAACTCTTTTGTCTATGAGGAAAGCACATAAAAACCACAAACAGAATTACAGAAGAAATATTTAACCACCCAAGAGAGCCACTGGCCTCCCAGCTCTTTCGCTTCAGCCATTTACATAAAAATAATCGTCTTCATCGGGCAATGTTCTTATCTAGTTATAAAAATGGCTCCCCTAAGTTCATTATTTGGAAACATTTAGTTGAAGATATTTTTATGTAATTAAATGTAACGAAGAGTTTCCATTCGTTTAGAATAGCTTTACCCAATTGCACCACCTCGCAAAACCAAATGAGTAGGATTGTGCTGTGTAGTTTTTAAGAGCCCAACAATGAGAAGTCCTTATAACGTACTCTAAATTTTTAGTATGAATGCAAATTATAGCATTACAATGTTTTAATTAAAAATTTTTTCTTTCCATTTTATTGATATATAATCGACATACAGCAGTTTAAGGAATACGGCCTAATGACTTGGCTTACATATCTTGCAAAATGATTACCTCAATAAGTTTAGACAACATCCATCATCTCATATACAAATTATATGATTAACAAGGAGCCAGATCATCTCTCTGCTCTGATCTGTGCCTTTCTATGTCCTTCCTTCTCTTCCTTTTTTTCCTTTCCTTTATTTCTTCCCTCAACGTAGGTGTTCACATCAGTTCTTGGTGAGAGCAACAGCATTAGCATTAATAGTGATGATGATGATGATGATGATATTAATTGAGTGTTGACCAAGTGCTAGGCCTGTGCCAGGTGCTCTCTTCACACTATCTCATCTTGTCCATTGAACAATCCTATTATCCCCACTTTACAGATGAGAAAACTGAGGCTCAGAGATCCTAAGTGACTGGTGGGGTCAGGTGGTTCTTCAGTGGGGTGTGGAAGTTACTTTTGCTTTGTAACAAACAATCCCAACACTTATGGCTTAAAAATAATGGTTTGTTTAACTTGTGATTCTGCAGTTCGTCAGATTGGTTGTTCTGGTCTCAGTGGGGCTTACTTATGTGTCTTCAGTCAACTGGTGAATTGAATGGGGGCTGGTTAGTTTAGAATGGCCACAGCTGACTCCTCTGCATTCCACCAGCCTCTCGTCCTCCAGCTGGCTAGCCCAGGCACCTGGTCACATGGTACCTGGGCAGGGGTCCAAGAGCAAGCAGAAGCCACAGAGCCTCTTGAAGCCCAAGCTTGGGACTGGCACAGCATCCCTTCTGCAACATCCTATTGATCAAAAAGCAAGTCACAGAGCCCAGACTGAAGGGATGAGGACGTAGACTCTGGATGGAGTGCGCTGCCAAGTCTCATTGCGAGGGAGCACAGGTGCAGGGAGGGGAAATTGTACGGCAGCGTTTGCAAACCATCTACTGGTTCCAATCCAGGTTGCCCAACGCCAGAGCTCTTTCACTTGAACAAATATTGGGAAAGGGTTCTGAGCTTACGTAGTCAGAGGTCCTGGTAAATCAGTAATGCCCATGGGGCCTAAGTACTGATTTGGGGAGGATTCTGGGAACGTAGAATGGGTGGTTCTGAGCAGGTGGTATTCTTTTTTTATTATTTTAAATTTTTCTAAGTTGATTTCAGAGGAAGAGAGAGAGAGGGAGAGCAGCATGGATTTATTGTTCCACTTGACTCTTGTATGCGCCCTGACGGGGGACCCAACTGGCAACTTTGGTGTATCGGGATGATACTCTGACCAGCTGAGCCACTGGCCAGGTGCTATTCTTTTAATTAAGGCAGGAAATAGGAACCACATTTAGGATACTAATAATTCCATTTTCTGTCCATGAAGGAACATTAAAAGAGACTTTAATTCAAGCAAGGGAGGTCAATGTCACTTTCTTTTTATCACTACAGACCATACATTTTCGTTTTAGAAAAAAATTTCAGTGCAAATAAGCATCCTCCCCACCCCCAAATGATCATCACCTATCATTAAACCCACAAACTCACACACACAAAAGAATGCGCGATATACAGGTGGGCACCTGGGCACATCACTTCTTCTGTCCAGTAGAGGGTGCTGTGTGCTTCAGCAGAAATGCCACTTTCCCAAGAGGCTGGATGGAAACCTTCGTTAACTGGCGCCCGACTTGTGTTTTCACTGCTCTTAAAAAATGCATGTGCATCCCAGGGAGCTGCCCACCCGGTCTACCCTGCCACCTGCCTCAGAAGGTTCTTCAGATTGGCGTCTACAATGAGCTCGCTCACAAACCTGAGCTTGGCACGGCTTTTTCTTCCAAAGAAAAAAATCTTTTCTTCCCAAAGATTAAGCAGAAATGAGGAGTGGAGAGCACAGGTCATTTCTTTCTAAGCCTGGGATCCAAATGGCAAGTCTCCATGGCCAACGCTCCGCAGTAAATGCGATGACTTGCAGCGAGGGTTTATTTACGCCAGGATCAGCTGCTTCTTGGCATGGCTAGTTTTGTTGCTCATTCTTTTATTTTTCAGTGTCATTGTAATCATAATCACCACACATTGGATGTAGATCAAACAGCTCGTTTTCATTGTAAGCCGCTATGAATCATGGCCAAGTGTGGGGCACAGCAATCCCGGGAAAAGACGTTTCTGGTGGCCGAGGTTGCAAAAAACAGGAAATGGCAAACATCAACATGTTGACCAACAGGGTTAGAAAATAATGCTGTAGATCTATGTATGTGAATATGGAAAGATTCCCAAGCTGCCTTATGAGAAGCAGATCCTGACACAGATTCAGGAACAAGTACAATTGAGCCTTGAACAGTGAGGGGGGAGGTTAGGGACCCTATCACTCTGCAGCAGAAAATTCTAATATAACTTTTGACTGCCCACTGGCCTAGTAAAGGGATTCCAGGAGATCGGGAGGGGTCCTGAGCACCATCTGCCTCGAAAGGGTTCGTGGAAATTAGCTTCCCTCTACCCCCACCTCCCTTATGAGGAGCCAGGAGGATAACATGAGGCCACCAAGTAGCTCTGGTGCCTGGCTTAGGTGGGAGATGAGGGGAAAGAGAAGGTCTCCTTTTCCTACAACATGGAAGGCAGCATGGGGGCGTGGTCTAGACGTTCCCTTCTCCTCGGGCCTGTCCAGTGGCTGAGGAAGGGAAAGGGGAGGGAGGGGCGTGGGGAGGCGGTGGATGGAGGAGGCTGCTGGTGCAGTGAAGGCGTTGGTTACATTGAGCACACAAGGAAATCGACTGACCAGGTACATAAATATATTGAGGATAGTGAGACCCAGATTCCTCAATGTTGGAGAAGGGATTTACAAACATGGAAACTGGAAGGTTAGAAAGAACCCTAACCTTCTGGTTGGACTGGAATTGAAAGTATCAGTATGAGCTCATTGTTGTTGCTTTTTAAATACCTGTACATGGATATAGATATAGATATATGGTGTGTATGTGGGGAGAGAGAGGAACGGACAGAGATAGATAGATAGATAGATAGATAGATAGATAGATAGATAGATAGATCTCTTAGCTGTGTTCACTGAGAGGGCCTAGAAGCAGTGACATCCCTGTAGCAGATCTTGGTTTCTAAGTACCATCATCTGCCAAAAGGAACCAGGGCTTCTTAGAAAAATGGCTGACACCAGGGCTCAGGCAAGGACATCTTATCATGCCAATAAGTAAGAAAGAGCTCAAGGAATGAGGGAGGCAGCAAAAAGACATAGGAATTAGCTTAAAAGGGCTTGCACTGTGCAGATCTAGGACAGTCTGAGCATCAAATTAATAATGGCAGAAATGGGTTACAATCCATTGAATAAAACAGAAATCCACAAATCCTTATTGATTAAATGAATAGGTAGGTAAGTAGGTAGGTAGATAGGTATATAGACAAATAGAGAGAAAGGGGAGCAGGGACACCTTTTCCTTATAGTAGAATGTCAACCAATAAATGTAGACAGAATAATGGAAATAAAAATACCCTTTGTGACCATCATCGTGGTGATTTATTCAGGCAGAAATAATCAATAGACGGGATGCTTAAGCTGGAGGGTAGAAGGTCTGTGGGTAACAGGATTTAGGGTAATCTCTGAATGTTCCCTCCCAGAGGACTTGCTCATCACAAATGGAAAATAATAACAGTAGGGTGGAGAAATCTGTCAGACACCAACTTGATCCGGGGATGACGCTTAATAGCACCAGTGATAAGATGGGTGGACATCAGGTCCCCCGGCATCAGGCACTGGGAAGGGTTTGGCATTATTTCTGTGAATGTCTGGCCTGGTCACAAGGAGACATCAGATGGACCCAGGATGCAGGGCATCCTACAGACTGAAAGGCCTGTGCTCTTCCAGATTATTTGGGACTTGAGTGACAGGGAGAACCTGAGGAACAGTCCTAGAATGCAGGTGTCCATCACCCCACCACCCGGTGTCCCCCTGGGTTGTGGAGAGGGCTCCATGAAAGCAATGATCACATGTCAGAATCATTTGGGGAGCTGGTTAAAAATGCAGATGCCAGGGCCCCACCCCTTGGAGTCTGTTTCTGAAGGTCTGGGGAGGGACCTGGGGGTGTACCTCTAAAGTCATCGTCCCAGGAAATTCCGATGTAAGTGGTCCATGGACCACACTCGGGGGGATGTTGGCCTAGAGCTTCAGAAAGCTGTCATAGCCATCTTCCTACTCAGTCCTGGCCTTAACCCCCTTTCTCTCTCTTTGCCTCCCCAGGGTGACGCTGTATGCTGAGTTCCTTCCCATGAAAGCCAGAGCCAAGTGTATTTTGCTGATCGAGGTAAGGAGGGTGGCTGGATTTGTGGAGACTTCTCAGTCTCTGGCATGAGGTCCTCAGGTGTCTTGAGCCGCAGGACAAGGAAAAGCGAGTTTAAGAAAAATATAAAAGCCCTGACTGGTTTGACTCAGTGGATAGAGCATCAGTCCTCAGACTGAAGGGTCATGGGTTCAGTTCCGGTCAAGGGCACATATCTCAGTTGCAGGCTTGGTCCTCGGCCCTAGTCGGGGCACATGCAGGAGGTAACCAATCGATGTGTCTCTATCACATTGATGTTTCTCTCTCTCTCTTTCTTCTCCTCCCTTCTATTCTCTCTAAAATCAATGGAATCATATTCTCAGGTGAGGATTAACAACCAAAAAAAGAAAAATATAACAGACTCAGTATGCAAAGACTTAAATGGATCAGCTATGTTGATTTCAACATGGTTGTTTTGAAAGTTCTTCATTTGATGAGAGAGAGAGAGAGAGAGAGAGAGAGAGAGAGAGAGAGAAAGAGAGAAAGAAAGAAGAGAAGAGAGAGAGGGAGAGAGAGAGAGAGAAGAAGAGAAGAGAAGAGAAGAGAAGAGAAGAGAAGAGAAGAGGGAGGGAAAGAGAGAGAGAGAGGGAGGTTTGGCCAGGACTGTTGGATGGGAGCTGTAACCTTCACCTGAGGGATGCAGCCAGCCCATCACTACCCTGCAGAGAGGGAGCCAGAGGAATGAACACCCAATCTCTCTTTCCTTCCTCCCTCCCTCCCATCCCTGTGGGAAGCCATAGGACAGGGAGCCTGTGGATCCAAGGTGAACAAGGACGGATAGTGACTTGGAGAAGCAAACAGAGGAGTTGCAGTCCCACAGGGAAGAGGCAATTCCGATAAAGGACACTGGAGCGCTGCTGGGCAGGGGAGATGGATGTCAATGGACAAAACCCAACGTGTTCACTTACCATACTGAGCTCGCACAATATGGGTCCTATTGATCTCCTTAAGCAGAGCTGCCACAGCGCACACTCCAGTGGGTGCCACGCAAACATTCTGCACTGTGGCTGGACAAGGTGGTGGCTCCGGCCCAGCCGTACAAACCACAGGAACGGCGATGGCCATTCTGACCTTGCTGACCCCGAGGACCCCGTACCCACGTGGGTTATCTTGTCGGCAGTGACCCTGAGATTGCTCCCTGTGTTGGCCACTGCTGCCCCTGCCGCTGACCTCCGTTCTTCTGTCCAGGTGTTCTGGGCCATCGGCACCGTGTTCGAGGTCGCCCTGGCCGTGTTTGTGATGCCCAGCCTGGGCTGGCGTTGGCTGCTGCTCCTCTCGGCTGTCCCGCTCCTCATCTTTGCTGTCCTGTGTTTTGTAGGTACCCCTTTAAGAGATCTCAGCCTCTGCTATGGCCCTTCTGCTGGTCACTGTATTTTGATAGGGAGGGTGTGTGGGAGAGCGCCAACGCTACCTTTTTCGATTATTTTTTTTAAATCAAGACATGAGACAAAGGAACGGGGCCTGGGGTAGGCTCAGTGCGGAGTACTGGGCTCCCTCCAGACAAACACAGCTGGGATGCTCTTTAGGGAGATAGCGGGGGATGGAGGAGGGGTACCCAGGTCCCACCACTGCAAGATGTACCCTTAAGGTAACTGTATTAGAACAGTTGGGACTCTTAAGGTGTAAGTGACAGAAACCCAGCTCAAACTGGGACCAAAAGCTCGAATGATCTCTCCATCTCCACTCAGCTCTGCATAAACTACACAACTCCCCCCTCCCCCAGTGAGATCATGCCCTTTATCCATTTTATGGATGAGGAGATGGAGGCACAGAGAGGTCGGATCATTGCTCGAGGTCACACAGCCAACATACTCCATGGCAGAGCCAGGCTTGGAAGTCAGTCCTCTGGTTCCAGGGCCCCCACCCTTAGGGTCTCTACCCACAGATGAGTGTGAGGCTGGAACCCAGTGTTCTGTTCCCCCCTAACCTGCCCCGCGTGGCTCTCCTGTCCCTACAGTGGCTGCCGGAGAGTGCAAGGTATGATGTCCTGTCGGGGAACCAGGAAAAGGCCATCGCCACCCTGAAGAGGATCGCGACAGAAAATGGAGCCCCCATGCCGCTGGGGAAGCTCATCATTTCCAGACAGGTCAGTCCCTGGTCCACGGATCCTGTGGCTTGCGTGTCCCTGTGCGGGCAGGGGTGCACCTGTGCGTGGGTGGGGCCTGCGTGTGTGTGTGTGTGATGGCGGGAGTCCATGGAGTGGGTGGGGGTGCGGGGGGGGGGGGGGCGGGGGCAGATCCTGCAAGGTGAACCTGGCAGCTTCAATCGGTGTGTTTTCACTGCCAAGCCCTGAAAAGTGCCACCTGGAGAGTTTCTCCAGCGATTAGAGAAATGTCACGCAGTGCCCACTAATGGATCCCGTAACGACTCCTGCTTCGGTTTCACCTTTCAGCGCCCATTACGTCTGATTAGCAAATGTGATTGATCGCCAAAGGCTGGACAATAAAACCACATTAGAAAGTGCCGTGATAGGCTTAGGTCCAGGGCGCCAAACTGCACTTGGAAGGCGCCCTTAATGGATGGTGCATCGCGCGGATGGCAATACCATCAGGGAATCCACCCCAGTGAGAATGTATGGGCACCTCCCACGCGCATGCGCACAGAGCGCGGGGGTGGGGAGGTGCGAGGTGCGAGGTGGGGGGAGAAGGCAGTCAGATTAAAGGCTGCGGTTCCTGCCCTCAGACCCTACAAAGAAATTATCTTTCAAAATAAAATTATATTTCTGATTGTTTTTATATTGTGCAAAAAGAACTGGATGAAATTTCCCCACTTTGAGGGGAGGTGTTTTGCATGGTCTGCCGGTACACAGGCCAGAGGACACACCCAAATCCACTTCCAGAAACAGGATGGTCCAGGAAGGTCCAAGGAGGTGGTGAATTCTGAGACAAGCAAAAAGAGGAGAGAAGGGCAGACAAATTTTCCAAAAGCAGATTTTCCTGAATTAACTTGCTAATGTACCCACTTACCCAAAATGTGTCTTGAGGATTACTCTTTTTTAATATATTTAGTAAATAGGAATATATTTTCTCTATGTACCTATTCATACATTTATTCATCAATATATTCTGCTTAATATTCCTAAATATAGTCAATAAATGCATTCTCAAATATATCCGATAAGCATATTTAATGAATGCTGTCTTTTCCTTGAAGAATATATTACCAAGATATTTTTATTCATGAAGGCAATACTCAGAGACTAAACCACCTGCGGCCTGTAATTTTTCAGTTTTAGCATGTTTAAGTAAGTAAGCATTTCTCAAACTGCTACTGAGAAAAAGAATGTTCATTAAATATATCGAAGAAGAATATAATCAGTCATAGAATATATTTTTAAAAAGAATAGGGCAAAGATTTGATAAGTTAGCAAATTATATGACATTGGCAACTGGGCCATTTAGCTAATCTGTCTCTTGGCAAATGGCTTTCAGTGATCGATTGGCACATTAATTTTTGTCACCTTGGGGGCGAGAGGTGATATGGTTGGACACCCCTTGGGCTGGTTTGCCGCTCCCTGGGGCCATAGAATTACCTAAGAGGTGTCAGGGGGCCCAAGCCCAAGGGGTCTGCTTCCCAGCTCCGGGATTCCAGGTTGGGGTGGGGCTTCAGAATGTGTCCATCCTTCGGAGGGAAGCCTGTGGACATTGCTGGGTCCTGGAGGGGCCTAATTGGCTGCAATGGGCTGGAGATTTGAGTCCTGGGTCCTTGGAGCCCGAGTGTCCAGCCCACGAGAAACCTCCCTCTCAGCCACGGGTGTCCACCAGTCTCCGGCCACCAGCCAGTACCCACGCACCTGCATGTTTTTGTCTTGAAACAGGAAGACCGAGGCAAAATGAGGGACCTTTTCACGCCCCATTTTAGATGGACAACCTTGCTGCTGTGGTTTATATGGTAAGAGCCATTTGTTGACATTTTGATCCCCTTCGTCTGTGCCCTGTTTTGGGAGTGGGGGTGGGTTTGTTTGAACACAAAGCACAGAGAACTTTTTGATCTCGGGGAACGTTTGCAAAATTCAGTGGTTGGAGCATCACTTTCCTGGCCTCTGTCTCACCCAGATAGCACCTGTACTATTATTTTCCCAGTTGTGTTCTTACATTTGACTCACTTTTTACTCAGATAAATGCATTTGAAAAGGAAACTTTATATGTCTTCTTTAAAGGAAAAAAAACACACCTTAATTTCAGGCCATAGATAGAAGGCGCCCTTAAAGATAAATACAGTGAAAAGTTGCCAGGTTGACGGTTTGCCAAGGCCTGAGTGGCTGTATTTAAGAGATAGAGAAACAGACAGAGAGGGGAGGTGCTGAGGACTCACTAACATAAGCAACTCATCACTTGAGACAGAGATACAATCAAAAGAATCGAAAGGAAATTTAAAAGGGATTTTTTTTTTCCACAATGAGATTTCATGTTGATGCTGTATCAGTTCCCGGCTCCACGCATATTGCCTCGGGCACCACCAGTGGCACAGGGCCCATAGTTTGGGAAGCATCGATTTGGTTGCCAGGGGCATTCTTAGAACTCTCAGTCCTGATCATATTCTATTTTTCTTAATAACAGGGCTGGGGGTGGGGCTTTTAACTCCACAACCAGTCAAATTTCAGCTACTCTTCCAACTCTCCTTCTACCCAGCCGTGTACACAACATCAACAGTGCAGGCGCTGGGCCTGGGTCAGGCTTTGTGTTCTTTTTCAGCCAGTTCTCACCTTTCCTATTCACCTTTGCGCAGAGGTGCTAGTTAGCAGGGGTGGGGAGGCCAGTGAAAGTGGTTAATTGTAGGGAGGAGGAGGGGAAAACTTCGATAACATATAGAACGGGGCTCCATTTACAGAATTCCATACACAGAACTCTGCCCCTGCCTTCCTGAGAGATGAAACAACTCACCAAGCACTCATGAAACACGTGCTGTGTGCCATTCTGTCGGATTTTTAAAGGATTTTTAAAGGCGTTTGGAGGGGTGCAGAGTTGAGGGTATCTGTCTTTGAGAGCACGTAATTCTGTTGAGCCGACACTAGGTGAATACGGAAGCAATGAAGTAGAGGCTAATTTTAGCGCGCTGGAGAAATCACTAAATTTGCCAGCACATATTGTAGCCCGAGGAAATGAATCAGTGGCGTCTGGTTGCGACGGGGTTCCCACATACTGTACTGGATGAGAATGTTCGGTCCCCCAGACTTGAGTATCCGGGTTCCTGGGACAGTCAGGAATTAATGAACTGCCTCATTCTGACCTAAGGGTCTAGTGAAGTCTGCAGACTCCACCCCTGTACTGGGTACACAGCAGTTGTTTGATAAATGACTGGTGTATTGATTTAGCTCTCAGGAATTCCGGGAGAGAGCTGGAGCCCAGTTCTGTATGTTCTGTATATTAGTAAAGCTTCCGCCCCCTCCTCCCCTCTCCAAGTGGACCGACCAGACCAACTCAACCCAGAAGCCCTGACAGGTGTCAACGCTGTGCTTTCTTCTAAATGTGGGTCCCCCAACCCTCCCCCTATTGCCTGTTGAGTAAACAGCCTTGGGGGTGGCATGTCTGTGGTAGAATCCAGCTCTTGATCTTTCAAAGGACACAGATTTAATCCCCTTTATCACATCACTGTGGTTTGCAGCCGCCATCTTCCCGCTCCAGGGCCCCGGAAAGGCCCGGAAGGCCCATGTCTTTACCGCTCCTGCTTCTCTCCTGGCAGGTTTTCCAATGCGTTTTCTTACTACGGATTAGTCCTGCTCACCACGGAGCTCTTCCAGGCAGGAGACGTCTGCAGCAGTGAGTATGGCAGCCCGTTCACCGGTTACCACGCCTGCTCCCAGCACACGCCACACACACACTCCCACCCCAGGTTCTGCCCTCACAGGGCCTGGCCTTGCACACATCCCACTGACTTTACCCCACAAACTCCAGGGAGAAAGTTTGTGCAAAATCTGAGCCTAGAAGATCTGGGCTGTGGTTTCCAGGGCGCTGTACAGAGACCTAGACAGTCGTTATAGAAGTTACACGACAGCAGAGTCACTCTTTATATATATATATATATATACTTTTATTTATTTCAGAGAGGAAAGGAGAGAGAGATAGAAACATCAATGATGAGAGAGAATCATTGATCGGCTGCCTCCTGCAGGTCCCAACCGGGGGTCAAGCCCACAACTCGGGCACATGTCCTGACTGGGAATGGAACCGTGACCTCCTGGTTCATAGGTTGATGCTCAACTCCTGAGCCACGCTGGCCGGGCAAGAGTCCTATCTTACCGAGCTCCATGAAGTACAGCACTGAGTTGAACCGCTAGGACTCTGTGCACGTTAAGTCTGAGAACCAGGTTGGGGCTCAATCCTGGCCACACAACAGAATCTCTTGGGGGAGCTTTTCAACAATGCCAGCGCCAGTTAAACAATGCCCGGCCCAATTTCATCAGCATCCCTGGGGTGGAGCCGGGGCATCCGTGTTATAAAAGCTCCCCAGGTGATGCTGTTGTGTAGCTGGAGGTGGGAACCACCGGACAAAAGACACGAATAAAAAGCAAAGTCTAGATGCCAGTGCCTGGGCTTTCAAATCGTTCTGTCCTTAAGATAATACTAACTTCCTAGCACTGAACCCAGGATGGGGGATAAAGGGGTCAGGTTCTCGCTTGTCTGCAGGATTTGCCCAATTATCTTTTTCTGTGTTAAGCCGCTTTCATCGCAGCTAATGGTTTTATTTGTTGGGTTAAGGATTTAGTGAGATGGCGGAGTCACATCTCACTGGGGGGTGTGGGCGTCTAAATTAACTGCTCTGAGGAAGCAGCTTGGTTGTAGGTTTGGAGTTTGGGACTGATGGAGCGTAATTGCATGCCCCTCACAGTGGACCTGCTTCAGCCAAGCAGAGGGTCCGGTGGAAGGTTACAAAGCAGGGGTTGGCAGCTCTTTCTATGAAGGGCCAGACAGTGAACGCTGTAGGCGTGGTGAGGCGAGTGGCTCGAACACTGTAGCGGTGAAGCAGCTACGGGCAATGTGTAACGACAGGCATGGCTTGTGGTCCGAGAAAACCTTATTTGTGAACACAGATTTGAATTTCATGTCATTTTTATGCCACGAAGTGTTCTTCTCTCTCTCTCTCTTTTTTTTAAAAACATATTTTTATTGATTTCAGAAAGGATGTGAGAGAAAGAGAGGTAGAAACATCAGGGATGAGAATCATTGATTGGCTGCCACTTCTACGCCCTTTACTGGGGATCAAGTCCACAACCCGGGCACGTGCCCTGATCTGGAATCGAACTGTGACCTCCTGGTCACCGAGCTACGCTGGCCAGCCGGCCGGCCAGGCTCTGCGTTTAGTTTTAAAATTTAATAATTTTAAAAATGTAAAAACTACTCTTACCTCGAGGACCAGGCAGAAACAGGCAGGAGCTCAGATTCGGCCCCCAGCTGGTCATTCCCAACCCCATTCAAAAGCTCTCTCTCTTATACCTGGTGGGAAAGAAATTCTGTGGAACAAGTTCACAGCCAGAAACCAGGGAGCCCGAGTGCTGGCGCCAAGCAGCTGTGGGGCCCTGGGCAAGTCGTTTACTCAGTATTTTCTTCGTACCTTCCAGGTATGGCCCAGGTGTTAGGATATATCAGTGAACACAAAAGACAAATCTCCTGGCCTGTGAGCTTGCATTTTGGTGTAGAGAGAGGAAAAGGAGAGAAAAAGAGAATGGCGAAATAAGGAAGGAAATTATATAGTGTGCTGGGAAGTGATCGGTGTGTTACAGGAAAAACTTTAAAGAAGTGTCTGAGCACATTCTTATGCACACCTGGCTTTCATTCTCTCGACCATCTTGCCCAGTGATTTTATTAGCCCCAGTTTTAAAAAATATTTTTTATTGACTGCAGAGTGGAAGGGAGGGGGAGAGAGAGATAGAAACATCAATGATAAGAGAGAATCATTGATCCGCTGCCTCCTGCACGCCCCCCACTGGGGATCGAGCCCACAATCCGGGCATGTGCCCTGACCGGGAATCAAACCTGTGACCTGTTGGTTCATAGGTCAATGCTCAACCACTTGAGCCATGCCAGCCGGGCTGTCCCAGCTTTTTGAGGAAACGGATACTCAGAGAGATGAAGCTCTAGAAAGCTGGTCGGGATTCAGACCTGAGGCTGTCTGACTCCTGAGCCTGGCTGGGCGCTTTTCACGGCACGCCAGCCAAATCGTACTCTGCAGAGAAGGAGGTCTGGGGAGCAGGGGAGTGTGGCTCAAGGCTCTGCACATGGCTCATCCTCTCCCTCTGCCGCCCACCTCCCAGTTTCCAGCAGTAAGAAGGCAGTAGAGGCCAAGTGCAGCCTGGCCTGCGAGTACCTGAGTGAGGAGGACTACATGGACCTGTTGTGGACCACCCTCTCCGAGTTCCCAGGTGAGGGACCCGAGGGAAATGGGGCCGGGCAAGGAAGCCTGAGAAGGTGGCAGCTGTCCAGTGCCAGTCTTTTTTTTTTTCCCTCTTTTGGCAAAGCTGATGAGATTTTTATGGTTAAAACAGTCCAATTATTATGATGCATTTCAGTTGGATTCCCAGGTAGTGCCACATTCCTGGTGCCACCTGGAAGCAAATCCCATTTCCGGGGGAGCTGGGATTGTTTTTTCCACCCTGAGCTACACATTGTCAAGAACTGTGAAGGGGCTGAGAATTCACTCCACGCGAAGGCTAACGAGTTTAAGCTGCCCAGTTGCGTGCTTGCTGGCAGGAGACACGAAACTCCTGGGTCAGAGACAAACGGCTCCTGAGCACAGCAAACAGCACGAGCAGCATATTAATGTCAGGTCCTCCTGCCCCAAGTCCCAGGGGGATGATGAAGAAGGGGCCGGGGAGATACTACAGTGCAGTGGATCTGCCCACAGCTGAGGAATTCGGGAATCTACATCTATATATATAAAAGCCTAAGGAACCTAATAACCGGTCAACTAGTCGCTATGAGGCATTGACCACCAGGGGACAGATGCTCAACACACAGGATTGGGCTCCCTGCTGTCTGGATCGGGCCTGCAGGGGTCAGGCCGAAACCAGCTATCCGACATCCCCCAAGGGGTCCGGGATTGAGAGAGGGCACAGGTCAGGCCAAGGGACCCTACCAGTGCACAAATCTGTGCACCGGGCCTCTAGTCTTTTATAATAGGCTGCCAGCAACCTGCCCAGCCTGCGTCCCAGAGAGCGAGACATCCCCTTTATTATATCGGACACTAAACAAAACATGCCCTTCTCTATAGAAGGAGGCTATATCTTTATCTTTCAAGGCTGTTTCTATACAAACTACCTTGAAATGATAGCCTGGAACGAAAGGGCAGCTAGTACTTCTCTCTGCTCGAAAGATGTAGAGAAATATGAGAGACCAACAGAGAACTGTCCACCAACACCAGTCACACTGGAAAGGACCAGTGGGATGTCAAAAAATCCAAACCTGCCCATAAAGCAATGGCGATCTATCTCTTTCCTTCAGAAGGAATAGCAATGATTATAATGATAGTAATACGTCATATTTATTGAGCGCTTACTGTATTTCAGGCACACGGTGCTAAATGTTTCACAGATAAGTTCTCATTTAATCATTAAATCTAATTTAATCTCATTTAACTATACAATCTGAAGTTGTATAGTTATTCCCTTTTTTAAAAGTATTTTTATAGATGTTTATTTTTTATAGCATTTTAATGTTTTTATTGATTTGAGAGAGAGAGAGGAAGGGAGAGAGAAACATCCATGTGAGAGAGAGGAAACATCAATCAGTTGCCTCCTGCATGCACCCCAACTGGGGAATCCAATCCACTACCTGGATACGTGCCCTGACCAGGAATTGAACCCACCACCTTTTGATGTTTGGGACAATGCTCCAACCAACTGAGCCACACCGGCTAGGGCTAGTTCTTCCCTTTCTACAGCTGGAGGCAGTGAGACTGGAGAGGCGTAGCAGAAACTGATCCTGCAACTTGCTGCTGCCAGGATCTGCATCTCTGTGCCCCAGGGCTGTCTCAGGAGGAATGGAAAGCCGAAAAGCAAGCAAAGTGGCCGGAAGTGCCACTTTGGGAATTAACGCCGGGGAACAGCCTTCAGCCAATGACTGAAAGCTCATGTGGGGCAGGATCTGCTCTCACACTCACTCACGCGGTTGTTGGCAGGATTCGGTTCCTCCAGGGTTGTGGGGCTGAGGGCCTCAAGTTCCTCATTGGCTGTTGGCCAGAGGTCACCTTCAGTTCCTTTCCAGGTGGCCAACAAGGCAAGCACATGAGAAGAGCCAGGGAGAGAGAGAATGCCCCCCCCACCACCACCACAAAGTCATAGCCTTTATTAAAAAACTAGAGGCCCAGTGCACGAATTTGTGCACGGGTGAAGTCCCTCGACCTGGCCAGTGATTGGGGCCGATCAAGGCCAGCTGGGGGGAGGGACCACGGGAGGTTGGCCAGCTGCAGGAGGTTGGCTGTGGGAGTGCACTGACCACCAGGGGGCAGCTCCTGCATTGAGCGTCTGCCCCCTGGTGGTCAGTGCACATCATAGCTACCGGCCAGTCGGTCAGTTGTCTGGTAGTAACGGTCGATTAGGCTTTTATATATAGAGATATATTGTTTTATTGATTTCAGAGAGGAAGGGAGAGGGAGAGAGAGATAGAAACATCAATTGATGAGAATCATTGATCGGCTGCCTCCTGCACGCCCCACACTGGGGATCAAGCCTGCAACCCAGGCGTGTGCCCTGACTGGGAATCGAACCACGACCTCCTGGTTCACAGGTTGATGCTCAACCACTGAGCCGTGCTGGCCGGGCCGTCACAGCCTTTTTATAACCTCATTTCAGAAGTGACATTCCATCACTTATATTCTCGTCATTAGAAGTGAGTCACTAGGTTGGCCCCCTCTCAAGGGCATTGCACAGGGTGTGACAGCCAGGAGGTGGGGGTCCCTGGGAGCCACGTCAGGGGCTGCCTGCCATGGTGCCCTGCTCCCTTCCAGGTGTCCTGGTGACTCTGTGGATCATTGACCGCCTGGGCCGCAAGAAGACCATGGCGCTGTGCTTCGTCGTCTTCTCTCTGTGCAGCCTCCTGCTGTTTATCTGTGTCGGCAGGTGGGTGGTGACACCAGCTCTCTCTGGCCAGCAGGCTGATGACTCAGGTCCTGGGCAGTGGCTCTTTGGGCCTGTGACCCGCTGGGGGTCATCAGAGGGATTCCCTCCAGCCCCTCCCTAGCGCTGAGGCCTGAAAACTGACCAAAAGATCGGGCTCAAAGTTGGGGCCCCCGGTGGGGGTTTGGTCCAGGTTCTCCTCCAATGCCATCACGTTTTTTAAAAATATATTTTATTGATTTTTTACAGAGAGGAAAGGAGAGGGATAGAGAGTTAGAAACATCAATGAGAGAGAAGCATCGATCAGCTGCCTCCTGCACGCCCCCCACTGGGGATGTGCCCGCAACCAAGGTACATGCCCTTGACCAGAATCGAACCTGGGACCCTTCAGTCCGCAGGCTGACGCTCTATCCACTGAGCCAAACCGGTCAGGGCAATGCCATCACATTTAGACCTTTGATATTATCTCCCAGTAAAAATCATGCATATAGCTGTTGGATTTATGTATGGGTTTAAGATGTTCATTTGTCCCGTGGAAATATTTTAAATCGGCCCTGTGTTATAATCCCTTTTTGGCTCAAAATGTGGAAGTGGTCTGTGCCTCTTTTGACCTGTGAGACGCCCGAGACAAAGCCTGGTGAGGAATCTGGGGAAGGTCTGAAGATACAGCTTAGAGCAGCGGTTCTCAACCTTCTGGCCCTTTAAATACAGTTCCTCATGTTGTGACCCAACCATAAAATTATTTTCGTTGCTACTTCATAACTGTCATGTTGCTACTGTTATGAATCGTCATGTAAATATCTGATATGCAGGATGGTCTTAGGCGACCCCTGTGAAAGGGTCGTTTGACCGCCAAAGGGGTCGCGACCCACAGGTTGAGAACCGCTGGCTTAGAGCATGCAATGCTGATATTCTGAGATGTTTATGGGAAAATAGAACAGAAGGTTGGGGATCAGGATTCTCCTAAAATTACTGAACAGAAGTTGACTTTCCTTGGCTCAGTTGGTTCCTGGCTCAATACCTGCTGGGACTTCTGATTATTTATATCACTTCTCCCCAACCTGGGCGCACAGATGTTTCTATCTCTCAGCCTGGTGCTTTGGAGAACGAGAAACCTTTAAAAAGCAGGCCTTAGGGAGGGCACCGGGATGTGAGTGCCCGCGTGCCTGCATCAATTATGTTGGGTGGAGGTGGGCTTTGCCCATTTCTGGGGTGTAAATTCTGCCTGGGCAGATAAGACTTTGCTGAAACAAGCTGACAGAAAAAAATACCTGCTCGTCTTTTTTTGTTTTTGTTTTTTTTTTCCCTCCACCTAGAACGATGCTCACTCTGTTACTCTTCGTTGCAAGAGCGTTTATTTCGGGAGGCTTCCAAGCGGCCTATGTTTACACACCTGAGGTAGGAGGGGTGTGTGGGAGCAGCTGGGCAGTGAGGGGGATACAGAAATGTGACCAGATCTGGTGGGTGGAGGCCAGGGATGCTGCTAAACATCCTACAGGGTACAGGACCTGCCCCCTCCCCATCCCCATGGAGACTGGGCACGTGGCCACTCCTGTGGATGAACTGAGACGCCCTGTAAGCATCTCAGTCTCTCTCTGTATGAAATGCCGTTAACGTCCGTGACCAGTGAGTGCTTCAAGGTCAACTAGTGGAAAGTGGCAGGTAGGACAGTCCCTGGATCCTGAGCGGAGTTCCTGGCGGAGTCTTTGGCGACCACCAAGGGGGCAGGAGGACCTCCTTGCTGGGTTCCCACCCACAGCTCAGCCTCTCGCCTTCTTTCTCTGTTGAATTTCCTATCTCCTTTGGGGTAAGAGTCTTTACCCCAGGATCCCACCCCTTAGCGGGGTCACCAACACCTGAGGGATTCGCCTTAACTGCAGGCCCACCCTTGGGGGTCAGGGCCATCATCCCTGAGCTGGGGCGGCAGGAGGGACCTGCATTTCCTCAAGGCCACACCTGGTGGCTGTGTTTCAGGTCTACCCCACGGCGACGCGAGCGCTGGGCCTGGGCACCTGCAGTGGCATGGCGAGAGTGGGCGCTCTCATCACTCCGTTCATTGCTCAGGTAGGTGTCCCCCCAAGTACAGAGCGGGTGGGGGTGCCCAAAGCCAGCGCGTGGCAGGCAGTTACCATGTGCTGAGCCTTCTGTGGGGCCCTCCGTGTGTATTATTGTATTTCATCCTAACAATAATTTATTGTATAAAATACAGTAATATTATTGTATTTTATCACCGTCTTATGAGGAAAGAAATACGGCTTGCAGATGGGAAAACTCAAGCCCGGAAGGGTCAAGGGACTCGCCCAAGGTCACACAGCTGGGAAGTAGGGAAGCTGGGGCTCAAACCCAGGTCTTTCCCACGCAGGAGACCCCGGGGGTGTCATATGATTTGGCTAAACATAATTTGGATGGGAACAAGTTGGCCAGCATGATTTGTGGGAAACGAATGTCCCCGCCCCGGGCTTCTGAGATGGATCATCAGATGTCATTGTAGAATTTTGCAACCCGATGTGTATCTTGAAGCATTTCAACCCATTTTTAGGGATTTTTAAAAAATATTTTTTTATTGATTTCAGAGAGGAAGGAGAGAGGGAAAAAGAGAGATAGAAATATCAATGATGAGAGAGAATCATTGATCAGCTGTCTCCTGCACGCCCCACACTGGGGATCGAGCCCGCAACCCAGGCATGTGCCCTTGACCGGAACCGAACCTGGGACCCTTCAGTCTGCAGGCTGACGCTCTATCCACTGAGCCAAACCGGCTAGGGATCTTATTTTGAAATATCTTTACTTTTTACATATCTAATTTACTTTCTCCCTCTTTTTGTCACTTTTTCAAATTGAGACAAAAGTTTGTTATCACACAAAAAGGAGCCATTTTAAACCAACAATTCAGTGCCATTGAGCACATCCCTAATGTTGTGCAACCATCACCCCTAGTTAGTTCCAGAACATTTTTATCACCCCAAAAACTCTGTATCCAGGAAGCAGTCCCTCCCCACCCCCTTCTCCCTGCGGCCCCTGGCAACCACCACACTGCGTTCTGTCTCTGCGGACTTATCTATTCTGGGTATTTCACGCACCTGGAATTCCAACACGGGCTGGAGCCAAGCAGTTCGGTTCTGTGCTGCTGTGTTTGGCCATTGTATGTCGCTGCTAACTAATACTGGTTGAGAGCCTGCCATGCGCCCGCCCGGTGCCAAGTGCTGCTACGGTATCTTCTCATTAGGAGACGGACACTGCCCTTGTGCCCATTTGCCAAACGGAGGAAATGAGGTGCAGCCCTGCTGTGATTTTCCTGGTGCCATTGAGCTAGGGAGTCAACAGAGGCGCTGCTGCAGGAGAGAGGGTTCATAGAAGGAATACAGACGCTTGGGCCTGCTGGGGTCTGGGTTCAAATCCCAAGCCCATCCTTCGTATCTCTATGAACCTGGGTATGATACTTAACCCTCTCTGAGCCTCAGTTTTTCCCTCTGCAAAATGGGGACAAGGAACCTTACCTCACGGAGCTGTCGTGAGGACTAAAGGGGCCAATCAACACAGTGCTTACAAGAGGGCCTGGCGTTATCAGTATCATCTGAACGGTTGGTGGTTATTCAGAAAGGACGCTCTCACGGACACATATCTTCTCCCCACCCCCTCACCCCCCCCCAGGTGATGTTGGAATCCTCCGTGTACCTGTCTCTGGCGGTTTACAGTGGCTGCTGCCTCCTGGCTGCACTGGCCTCCTGCTTTTTGCCCATCGAGACCAAAGGCCGCGGGCTGCAGGAATCCAGCCACCGGGAGTGGGGCCAGGAGATGGTGGGCCGAGGGACGCACGGCACAGGCGTCGCCAGGTCGAACTCGGGCTCTCAGGAGTAGTGACCTCTGGGGGGGCTGAGCTGGTCTTTGAGGCCGTGGAGCCCAGGGAGCTGGCGGAGCCCGTCTGGGGCACCGACCGTCACTGCCGACACCAAGAACTCGCCCAAGAGCACAACCTGGACCCCGGTGGCTCCTGTTCACTGAGACCCACCCACGGATGGGGAGGCATTTGCTCCGGGGGGAGGTTCTGGATGTGTGGGGGGAGGCTTGTTAATCACCTGTGGATCTGCATGGGAAAACTGCCACACCGGTGACCCTGGTAGCCAGCCAGAAACCATCCAGAGTTAGCTGGCCACACCCGTGCTGAGCAACAACCCAAAGGTCTCCATAGACACAGTCCAGGCCCAGGCCCGTGAGCCCTGCCGCCCACCAACCAGACCTGGTCAGTAGGTTTCTCCTACACCCCGGGCCCCCGGCTTTCTTCTTTGAAATCGCAGGTGACTCGGGTGTGGCCTGCACAGCTTTTTCTTGGGTTGGAGAAACGCTCCCTCGGAAAGGGGCCTCTCGGTTTGCCTCCCCAGGCAGGGCCTGACTCTGACCGATGGACGTGCATTTGACCTTGAGCCACGTGCCCCCCCTGGTCCCCTCGGGAGTTGCTGTCCCTGGTTCCAGGGGATCCCAATGTGTCCATGGGGACAGCTGGGCTTGCACCAGACGACAACCCCAGAAAGCTGTTACCCCAGGCACTGGGGACTGGGCCCACAGGGAGGGGAGAACCAAGCCCAAAGCCAAAACAGGGCCCTCCCGTTCGGAAGCAGCGGAGGCCTCCTCGGGGCTTCTTTTCCGGCCCCTTCCTCGGTCAGACGGATTGGGGACTCTTGGGGGAAGAGGACAGTTCACTCAGGTCTCGGCGCTTTGGACTTGGAGCTTGGGTGGACGGAGAAAAACAAATGATGCTACACCAACCGCCCCCTCCCTTGGGGCCCAGGGGCCAGGAGTCCTTCCCCCTGGTTCCTCTGCCGCCCTTGCTCTCAAGGGTTGGCTTGGTCTCTACACAGAGGCAGCTCTTGGGATTCCGGCAATGGACCCACGGCAGGGGTGCCGTGAGCTGGGGAGGAACGGGGGGGACCCGGATGTGTGAAACGTGTACATTTTCAAAGGAAGACGAGGAAGGTGGTTTGGGTTCGGGGTTGGCCTTGGAAGGGAGGGCTGACACCCACCTCCTGGATTTGGGTTACGGGAGCCTCCTGCCCACCAGGAAGGCAGGGAACCTAGGAAAGGAGGGAGGAAGCTGCTGGGTCCCAACAAAGGCCAGAGAAGCTTGACCCTCTGCTTGGAGATGTCTGCTTGAAGTCAACATTGCGAGGACGCCAAATGTGTACGTTCATCTCTTATTAAAACACGTTGGCCCTAGCCGGTTTGGCTCAGTGGATAAAGTGTCAGCCTGTGGACTGAAGGGTCCTGGGTTCGATTCCGGTCAAGGACACGTACCTCAGTTGCAGGCTTGATCCCCGGCCCTGGGTTGAGGGGGCGCATGCAGGAGGCAACCAGTCCATGTCTCTCTCTCTCTCTCTCTCTCTCTCTCTCTGTCTCCCCCCTCCCTTCCCCGCTCTCTCTGTAGATCAATGGAAAAATATCCTCGGCTGAGGATAAAAAACAAAACAAAAACATGTTGGTGATGGACATCGCAAGGGACGAAGTTTGTCCGTTTGTCATAATGTCCTAGTGACCGTTCACCCTAATGGCCTTGCCCACTCTGACCAGCCAGGGTCATCTCAACGCTTCCCTGTGCTCTGATAGGATCGTTTTCCCATGAGGGGGAAATGTATACAGTTGGCTGCCAACATCGTGACTTTGGGTCTGTGGGAGGCAACACTTTGTCCGAACGGTGTGGAGGTCACAGTGGGCATCTTCTTCAGGCTCAAGTCCTAGGTCGACTACAAACAATCCAGTGTCCCTGGAATAGGGGCTGCTGCCCCCTCAGCCCAGGCAATCAGTCGGGGAGGAGGCAGCTTGGCAGATCTTCCGCTCCCTGGCACTGGGGCGGGGGGGTGCCCTTGAACCCCGAGTGGCTATAGCTCTAATTACTTCTGGTCTGCGGAGCTCTCCTGGGTAACGCAGAACCTTCGCTTGTCCTTTTTGCCTTCCAGCTGGCCAGACACTGCCGGATGAGCGTGTCCACTCCCTGTACCCTCAAATAACCCGGAGGGGTGGGGGACTGGTGCGGGGGGGTGGGGGGTGGGAGGACTTGGTGGGCAGAAACGTTCTCCAGGGGCTGGAGCAGAGAGGCCTGCGATTGAGAGCTTTCTCTTCTCGAGAAAATGCAAGTGAAAAAATTCTTTGCCTTCTAAATCGCTTGCCCTTTCAAAAGAAAAAAAAAATCAATATTACTGAAGGACACACGAGCTGCCACAAAAGTTGCCCAAGCCTCTCGCTAAGGACGGTTGCATCTAATTTTGAACTATCCGAAAGCTCCTGTTTCCATGAACGGAAATGTCATCCATTCGTCTGCGTTAGGAAAGATTTCAGAAAGTGGCAAAGGATGTTCAGTGTAGCTGGGGTTGCGTAATTTCTTCCCCTTCCTTCAAATATTCTCAGGAACACATCAACGACCCTGGCGGTGTTGGCAACGGGATGGAAGACTCTTAGGGATGGACTTTGATGCGAATACAGACGGTCTTTATTTTTAAGTAAATATTAAGCACCAGAGAGCCTTGAAGGATGAGATGAAGAGTCTCCCTCAGTTACTACTAACAGGCATCAAAGGACTGGCGACCTTGAGCTGCAAGCAGCAGTCAAACCAGTCAGTGGTAGCTTCAACCATGAAAATAGTCATTGTTCATTCAACAGCAAGCCCAGAGGCAGGCAGTTCTAGGAAGGGCCCAGCAGCTCAACTGTGTCATCAAAGACTCAACTCCTTTTTGCCGTTCTTCCCTGCTCTCGTCTGCATGTTGCCGTCTGAAACCTCATGTCACAGGGGGACTCCCGCAGGGCCGGGCATCGTATTTACTAGCGTTTCACAGGAGGATA